GAGAACCTACCTCATGCAACTCCAATACTGTCAGAGGTTCTTTCAGTGACTGCCTAATAGACAGCTGGCAGCAGAGGCAGCTAGAGGCAGAGGCACTCAGGGTGCCTTGGGACTTTTGCTGACCCAGCCCCAGGTCTGATGCGGGTAAAAGCCAGCCTGGGTATGAAGCTTGGTCCTTCCTGCACACACCCAGGGCCAGCAGAGGCAGCTACAAACTGTGGATAGCTTTGTAGTTCCAAGCAGGTTGCCCAGGGCCAGCCATAGGTAGCATCTGACATTGGATTGCACCAGAGTCCCTCCAAGAGGCCCAGAACCAACACACCCAGGGGTCAGCTCAAATAACATCGGATCAGGATCCAATCACTTCACTAGTGGCATATTCAAAGGGAGATCTCAGCAGGTGACAGACCCTACCGAGGCAAATTCTGCACTGTGTGGTCAGTACCCACGAAGCCCCTCACATGCTGTGTTCAGGGTTGAGCCTCACAATTACTCAGCCTGAGGGTCTATCCCACACATGAATGGATCAATGACAGTCAAGACTCAGTTACAACAGAAGGACCCACATAACCCACAAAAGGGAAATTCCTGGAGCATCCAACTCAGGTGATTGAGGAGACTCTGCCACTGGACCCCACAGGACATCCTACCAAGGCTGGGAGTCAGAGCAGATCTACCTAATACATAGAAACAAACACAAACAGGCAGGCAAAATGGAGAAACTAAGAAATATGCCCCAAATTAAAGAACATGAGAAATCTCCAGAAAAAGAGCTAAATGAAATGGGGGCAAGCAAATGATCAGATATAAAATTCAGAAAATTGGTTATAAGGATGCTCAAGGAACTTAGTGAGAACTACAAAGTACTCAGTAAGAACTGCAACAGCATGAAAAATGACAGAGGAACTATGAAAAAAGGACCAGTCAGAAATAAAAAAGATAATATCTGAAATGAAGAATACATGGGCAGGAGTAAATAGTGGGTTGGATGAAGCAGAGGATTGAATCAGTGATTTGGAAGACAAGGTAGAAAAAACCACCCAATCGCCCAATCATAGCAACCAAAAGAAAAAATAATTTAAAAAATGAGGATAGTTTAAGGGACCTTTGGGACAACGTGAAACATAACAACCTTCACATCACAGGGGTACCAGAAGGAGAAGAGAAAGAGCAAGGGATTCAGAACCTACTTCAAGATAATGACTGAAAACTTCTCTACCCTGGTAAAGTAAAAAGACATACAAGTCCAGAAAGCACAGAGAGTACCAAACAAGAACTCAAAGAGGCCCACCCCAAGACACATCATAATTAAAGTGGCAAAGGTTAAGGACAAAGAGAGAATCTTAAAAGCCACAAGAGAAAGACAGTTATTTGCCTACAAGGGAGCTCCCATAAGACAGTCAGCTAATTTCTCAACAGAAACATTGCATGGCATGAAATATTCAAAATGATGAAAAGCAAGGGCCTACCTACAAACAAAGGCTACTTTACCCAACAAGGCTATCATTTAAAATTTAAGAAAAAATAAAGAGCTTCCCAGACAAGAAGAAGCTGAAGTAGCCTGGTTGGTGTAGCTCAATGGACTGAGCACAGACCTGTGAACCAAAGGGTCACAGGTTCCATTCCCAGTCAGGGCACATGCCTGGGTTGCAGGCCAGGTCCCTGGTAGGGGGCACACGTGAGGCGATCACACATTGATGTTTCTCTCCCTCTCTTTCTCCTTCCCTTACCCTCTCTCTAGAAATAAATAACTAAAATCTTTTTTTTAAAAAAAAGCTAAACCTGTTTGTTACCACCAAATCAATATTACAAGAAATGTTGAAGGTCCTGGAAGGAGGAGAAGGGGGAGGAAGAGGAGGAGGAGAAGATCATAGTTAAAAGAAAAAAATGGCAATAATATGTACCTACCAATAATCACTTTAAATGTGAGTGGCTTAAATGCTCTAATCAAAAGACATAGGGTAGCTGAATGGATAAGAATACAAGACCCATATATATGCCGTCTACAAGAAACCCACCCCAGAACAAAAGATATACACAGACTAAAAGTCTGTGGGAAAAAATATTTCATGCAAATGGAAAGAGAAAAAAAGCTGGGGTAGCAATACTTATATCCTACAAAAATAGACTTTAAAACAAAGGCTATACAGTGAGAGACAAAGAAGGGAGTACATAATGATAAAGGGAGCAATCCAACAAGAGGATATAAACGAAGTAAACATTTACACACCCAACATAGGAGCACCTCAATATGTAAAGCAAATCTTGATGATCATAAAGAGCGAGACTGACAGTAATATAGTCATAGTAGAGGATTTTAACACCCCACTGACATTAATGGATAGATCTTCCAGATGGAAAATCACCGAGGAAACAGCAGCCTTAAATGACACACTGCATCAGATGGACTTAATTGAAATCTTCAGAGCATTTCACCCCAAAGCAAAAGAACAGAATACACATACTTTTCTTTTTATTTCTTTTTTCAAAGATTTTATTTATTTAAAGAGAGGGGAAGGGAGGGAGAAAGATAGGGAGAGAAACATCAATGTGTCATTGTCTCTTGCATGCCCCCTGCTGGGGACCTGGCCTGCAAACCAGGTGAATACCCTGACTAGGAATCGAACCGGCAACTCTTTGGTTCATAGGCTGGCACTCAATCCACTGAGCCACACCAGCCAGGGCTTGAATATACATACTTTTCAAGTGTACATGGAATATTTTCTAGGATAGACAACCTTTTAGGACACAAAACAAATCTCAATAAATTTAAGAAGATTGCAATCATATCCAGTATCTTCTCTGACCACAATGGTATGAAACTAGAAATCAACAAGAAAACTGAAAAACACTCAAAGACACGGGGGCTAAATAACACATTACTAAACAATGAATGTGTTAACAATGAGACCAATAAGAAGTAATAATAATAATAACAACAACAACAATAATAATAAAGACAACAAAAATTAAAAAGGGGATGGTGGTGACAAGCAGAGTGTACCTGGGTGAGACTGCTGAGCAGTGTGCCATGCAGTGTCTGCCCCCAGGCTCCCCAGCTCAGGGCAGCCTACCCAGGGTGTGTCTGCTTGGGTTTGGTATGAGCAGAGCCAGAACACCAGAGCAGTCCAGAGGGCTGAGCTCAGATTTCAGGTTGGCCTATCCAGCCCAGGCCCTGGACACCAGTGATGAGCTAAGCAGCAAGCAGCAGAGATAAGATGTTGGGTCAGACGGCCTGGGGCTCTGAGCAAGTGCTGGCAATGACCTCAGGGGAGTTCTGCAACCAGGGCCTCTCCAGCCCCTTTTTCCCCCTAGTGTACAAAGCAGCACCCCAACATTGTTCCCTGGGGTTCTCTTTTTTTAAATCCTCACTCAGGGACATTTTTTTCATTTCTTTTAGAGAAAGGAGGAGGGTAGAGAGGGAGAGAGAGAGAGAAATAAATCGATGGATTGGTTGCCTTCACATATGCACCTTGACTGAGGATTGAACCCACAACCTGGGTGTGTGCCCTGACCAAGAATCGAACCTGCGGTCTTTTGGTCTATAGGACCATGCTCCAACCAACTGAGCCATGCCAGCCAGGGCTAGATTCCTCATTTATAGCCCTCCATGGGAGGCCAACTTACTTCTTCCTCAGGGTCTCTGTTTGAAGAGGTGGATTCAGCTCCCTCTCACCTAGGCAGCCCTGCCTGAACTCCCCAAAGCTCTGCTGGCATCAGGTGGCCCACTACCTCTAGGGTAGACCTGGTTGAGAGAAGCTGATGTTTTAATTGACCTGTTGGGTGCTCTCTGTGCTTAGTGAACCAAACAAAGGCAGAGGTAAGGACCTCACCTGAGGCCACCCACTGGCCTCCACTTCTCCCTCTCACTTGGCGTCCTGTGTTTTCCATGGTGCAGAGTTTCTACCTCAGGGCCTGGGCTCCCGGGGTGATGACTGTGCTGCCCCAGACATGGTTGCACAGAACAGGCCTCTCCCTGCCTCCACCTGGGCTGAGAAAGGAATGCTTCTGAGCAGCAAGACCCCTGCTGGCACAGTGGCTGAAAGGATAGTTTTAGGTTTGGGGTGAAGAAGGTCAAAAAAGGAGATCCCCTGGGATGTGCAATTATCCAATTAACTCAACATGCCAGCTCAGAGGTGTCCTGTGTTTCCTTAGGGCTACTGAGATAAGGGCAGGCAGGAGGAAAGATTCATGGAGCTCTGGTCTTAGGGTCTGTGTACATAGCACTGAGGATGATTAACCCTGGGTCTGGCAGGAGGGGATGTGCAGATCAAAGGTCCTCAGACAAAACAACCCACGTTGGAACTTAGGGAGAGCAGGGCATTGCCTGCTCTGAACAGATGTGCTCTAAACAGGCTCGCACAGCATCACCAGGGCTTTGAGGAGACCTGGGGCTCTTGTCAGCCAGGATCAATAACCCCGGCTCGCAGGTGGGAATGTTCTTTCTACATTTCTATCCTCTTTATTTATTCCCACTACTTATGAGAGACAAACCTCCACTCTGTCACCGAACCATGCCTCAGAGAAACCAAACCAATCCTCTTGGGGACTTCTGGATCTGCTTTGAGCCTGCCCTGTCGCAGACTCCTCTGAAGACCCATCTCTGGTCACTTTCCCCTGTGCGTCTCTGCAGACCTTCCTATGGACTGGGCACCTTCCTCCTTTGGGGCACGGGGCTTCTTTCTTATACCAGCTCACCATTCATTCTCCAAGCATCCCCCAAAATGGAAACCTCCCAGCAGGAGGATCAGATTCCTGGGAGGTAACTGTACCCCCTCTGCCTCACTTTGCCCATCAGCCTTCACCCCTCACCTTGGCCGGGAGAGCTGACTCCCTCCATGTCTCAGGGCTGGAAAGGCAGTGTAAGGTGAGATGAAGATGGGGGAGGGCTGGAAGGAGGTTGCAGGCCTGGAAAGGGGCAGGTCCAGGCCCAGAGTGGGAGGAGGAGACAGGCAGTAAGGGTGTTGACTGAAAACCACAATGTAAGGAAGGACGGGAGGCCGGGACTGGGGTATCTCAGGCCTCTCAGTGAGTGGAGCTGGAGGCAGGAGCATCTGGGAAACAGGCCTCCCTCTGGAATTCGGAGTTGAGCTGTTGTGTAACTCACTGGCTCCTGGGATCTAGAAGACAAGAGTGAAAACTACAAAGGGGCATCCAGGAGTTCCACACTCCAAAAGGACAGATTCTGGTGAGTATGACACCCTGCCGGACGCATGGATTCCTGGCCTCAGTTTCCAGGGTCTTTCTTACTGCCTGGACACCAAAACAGCAAGAGGGAGGCCTGGGCGGTTGTTCAGAGACTCAGTGGTCAGCAGAGATAGCTGGAGCAGAAACACACATGTACAGAAATGAGAGAATATCAAGGCCAAGGCTTGGTTGAAAGTAGCTTTGCCACTCCTAAACCAGCCCTGGCTGTCTGATCTACCCCTACCTGATCTCCCAGCTGCCTTGTGCTCCTGGGTGCTCCAGAAACTCCACATCTGGTGACTCAGCCATCCTTCCAGGCATGGGAGACCTCAGGAGCCTTGGCTTTTGTTGGGAACAACATGAGACCAGGAAATTCTTGACTCCAGGTTCCCAAGCCTCCCAGCTGTCTAGGGCCTCCTTTCTTCCCTGAAGGCAACCCTGAGGGCCCTCCTAAGAAAGAGACTCCAGAACCTATTTTTAAATGTGACCTGCAAACCAGGTGACAGGCAAACTAGGGTTCACTGAGGCTGGGCAGTTCTAAGGAGGAAATGGGCGCAAATGAGTTTTGCTGGGACTGAAAAAGTCTTCCTCAAGTCCCTTCTTCATGTTCCAGCAGAGCCACATACCTGAAGTCATTCACTGGCTCGTTATTAATAGTTGTTTATGCAGCAGCACCCGTGGCCCTGGGGGGTTTGCAGTGATAAAGGGCAAGTTCCCTTCCCTCAAGAAGTTCATGTGATGGGAACAAGGAAACCGAGGAGGGTACTGGGAGATTCTGGCCCAGATGGGACAGAGGAGAGAGGCCTTCTACAGGAGGTCCCCTGTGGGTTAGCATCCAGAGAATTAGAGGGAAGGGCATCGCTGGGAGAAGGAAGAGCAGGAGGTGCCACGGTGCACCTGGGGGAGATGATGGGGGAAAGCCGGCAGAGGCAAAGTCACTGTGCCCCCAGCACCGCTGGGGAACTCCGGGACTTGCGCTCCTCCTCAAAGCCTGGTGGTAGGGGGCGCTTTACACATCGTTTGAGGGTGTTTCTTCAGGATTTAATGGGCTCTCACCTTGTTCTCTTCCCAGCTACGCACCATGTGGTTGGCCCTGCTGCTATCGTTGTTGCCCACGGCGCGGGCTCTGAGCCTGGCGGGGCCTCTCCACCAGAGGGTCCTTCTTTTCCGGCTCACTCAGCAGGGCCCCTCTGAAAGCGGGGCCAGTAACACCACGGATTCGCCCTGCGAGGGGCTCTTCCCCACAGGGGCCACGACCTTGACCCTGGCGAACCGCAGCCTGGCACGCCTGCCGAGCTGCCTGCCCAGCTCACTGCGCAGCCTGAACGGCAGCCACAATCTGCTGAGCGTCCTGAGCGCGTCGGAGCTCGGCCACCTGCCGCAGCTGCAGGTGCTGACGCTGCACCACAACCGCATTGGCACACTGCTCTGGGGCCCCGGCTGGCCCACGGGTCTGCACACGCTAGACCTCGGCTACAACAAGCTGGCCGCCCTGCCACCGTGCGCTGGGCCCGCTCTGAGCAGCCTTCGCACGCTCGAGCTCTCCGGGAACCCCCTGCAGTCGCTGCCGCCCCGGGCCTTCGCCTGCTTCCCGGAGTTGCGTCTCCTCAACCTCTCCCGCACCGCGCTGGGCAGCGGCGCCCAGATGGACATCGCGGACACCGCCTTCGCGCCCCTAGCCACCCTGGAGGTCCTGGACCTCAGCGGCACGCTCCTCAAGCAGGGTGAGTCCTGGGCTCCACCGGTTTTTAGAGGCGGGCTGGGCATGTTCTCCCGGGCAGGCCTCTGGATTTCCTGAGCCACACACACCCTGCTGGGAACACCTCACGGAAGTTGTTAATTCCTTGAATCCCGATGTAGGAACTATCATCTCGGTTTTGCATTAAGAGGAAGCCGAAGTCCAGAAAGGTGGATGGCCCGAGGTCTCACAGCTCATTAAGTGTTGTCTCCAAATACAAATCCAAGCTTTCTGGGTCCAGAAACCAACGTTCAGCCTCCCTGTGGCACTGGGACCCAGCAGAGCTAGAGAATGGTAGTAGAATGGGGAAGTGGATGCATTGATTCAGAGCTGATTAGCACCAAACAGGCAGTTCATGTGATGCAAATGATGCTCTGAGGATGACTTCATGGCCTTTTCTACTTGGTTGGCTAAAATCATGTCTGCAAATGTTGACCCCTTTAAACAATACACAGGAGGGAAGTAAGAATACCAGTTCTGTTCTTGGTGTATTCTGACTCTGGTTCACAAGGTTGGTTTCATTATTTTAAAAAACATTTCATGTGTCTAGAATCACCTCTCCCACCACCACAAAGAAAAGAGCAAGAACTGGAAACAGAGGGGAAGGGACACATTATCCATATATGAGGAGAGCCACATAATTAGGTTTCTGGGCCTCACTCAGCCTTCTGATTTTCTCCCCCTTCCCTACCTTCCTTGAAAATTTCTTCACTCCTGGTAGCCATCAGAGTAAAGTTTGGGGTATTTCCATGTGGGGTTTAACAAGAATGTGGGAGAACAGCAGAGTTGGAGACAGTGTCCTGGGTTCAAGTCCTGGCTCTGTCCTTTCCCAGCTGTGTGGTCTTGGGTTTATCATTCTCCTTTCTGGCCTCAGCCACCTTGGGCTGGATGGAAGGAAGGAAGGAAGGAAGGAAGGAAGGAAGGAAGGAAGGAAGGGAGGGAAGGAAGGAAGGACTGGCCTCTCAGCTGAAATGGCCCTGAGATCCCCAAAGCTGCCACTGTGCCCATGCTCAGCAATGACGTTCACAACTCACCTTTTCACTCTGGGTGTTTCAGTAATGCCCTGCCAGCCTCCTCAGTTAGTGTCTTCCTGGGTAGTGGGCAGTTTCCCCTCTGTGTTTCAGTGCAGTCAGGGTGGATCAGAGACCTGCCCAAGCTCACGTCCCTCTACCTAAAGAACATGCCCAGGCTGAGGAGCCTGGAGGGGGACATTTTCAAGATGACCCCTGACCTGCAACAGCTGGATTGTCAAGATTCCCCAGCACTTACCTCTGTCCAGACACACATCTTTCAAGACACTCCTCACCTACAGCTCCTTCTGCTCCAGAAGTAAGTACCGGTATTTCTGAATCCCATGACTCAGTTTTGCCCATTACACTATACTAAGTAGGTATAACTATTTTATAGAGCAAAGCAGACTCTAATTTTCCTCCAGTGGCTCCTTCAAGTCCTCTCTGGGGTTTTGTTCTTCCTTACCCTTTGGGTGGTATCTTTGGGCCTGTCCCAGGTAGTCCCTCCAGCCTGAAACTGTGCACCTCAATTCTGTCCAGAGTAATATTAAAACTTCAAACTCTCATGCATGTAAGGCTTCCTTTAAGCTCAGGGTGAGTAACCTGCATGGGAAGAAGGGGTGAGGGCATCAGGTTCTTTATTTCTCCAACTACATGTGTCTCCATGTGAGCAGTCAGCCACAGGTCTAGGGAGGAAAAGTGAAAGAGTCGAACAGTCCTACTTGCAGTGAGCACCCAGGGTTGGTGCCTTCTGCCCTAGTGATGTCCAAAGTGCCACTCTACCCACCCTCCTTCCTGACTCCTAACAGGAAGGGCAGCATCCCTTTGAAGAAGATCCCAGGCCACCTCCTTTCCTGGGCACCCACACCTGGGCCCTGGGAAGTAGCCACTTCTGTCTTTTCTCTGCCCACTCCAGCCCCAACCAGAGTGCTTCACTTCAGCGTTTGTCATTAAGGAAAGGAGAGAGAAGATGTAGAGCACTTAGCTCAAAGCCTGTCAGATGGTGTGTGCTCTATAACATTAGTGCAGATGAAGGTGGCTGTGATAACAGTGAGGATGGTAATGATGAAAGCGATGGTGATGTTGGCAATGGTGATTGTGAGGATGTTGGCAATATGGTGTATTGGCAATAGTGACAGTAACGGTGATAATAATGATGATGGTGGTGATATGTTGATGAGAGTGATACCTCTGGCTCAGACCCCTCTTTTGAGCTTTAGACTGAAGCAACATTGTGTGTAAGGCATCGTATGTGGAGCCCAACTGCCTGGGCTCAAATCCTGACTCCACCACACTGTGAGTTGGGGCAAGTTATTTAGCACTTCCATAGCTCAGTTTCCTCATCTGTGAAATGATGACCAAAAAAGAAGCCCAAGGTCATTACGAGCATTGCCCAAAGTAATATCATCTAACGGTTAGATGGTATACTAATCCCTAAGAGAATGGTTTTCCCATACACCACCATGGCTCTCTGGGAATCGTTTAGACCTGATTGTAAAAGCCTGACAATTGATTTTCTGTGTATTTCAGCTGCAACTTGAGTTCCTTCCCTCCTTGGACCCTCCATTCCTCCCAGGTCCTATCCATCAACCTCTTTGGCAACCCCCTCACTTGCAGCTGTGAGTTGTCATGGCTCCTTGTGAATGCAAAGAAGATAGTCCTAAGCAGGTAACACATTTACAAAGCAGGTGACTAAGGGGAGAGGGTCAGCCACTTGGAACTGAAGTTGTCCCAGCTCATGTCTTGCTCACATAACCAGGCTGGGCAGGTTGGCATTGTTGGGCAGGGTGGCCATCTCTCATGTAGTCACATTCAGGGACCCAGCTAATGGAGGCTCTGCTTCCCTTCCGGTGAGTCAGAGAGGCAGAGAGCATGGACAAACAGATATGGAAGATTTTAATGGGCCTGACCTGGAGGTGGGGCTCATCATTACCACTAACATCCACACTTAACTGCAAGGAAGGCTGGGAAATGTAGTCTACCTCTGTTCCCAGTAGGAAAAAGAAATGGCCTAAGTGAACAGTTAGCTTTTCTCTGCCAGAGTAGGGTTATCATTACCCCATTTTACAGATGAGTGGACTGGGGCCAAAGGAGAGGAGTATTTGCTTAGATTCATGCAACTGCTGGGTGGAAGAGGCAGTATCCAACTCCCTCCAAAATTGTGCTTAAGCACTGGGCTCCCATGAACCCCCCAAATGGAGCCTGGCCTCCTGTGTCATTCAGTCCAAGGCCAGTGGACTTACAGAACTGTAGTGGGACAGACAGAAGTCCTATGAAAACTTCTCATTGGCTCTTACCTGAAAGAGCTATTTTTGCAGTGGGGCCTCATGCCCAGGTTGGCCACAAGAAGAGGATGGGGGCTGGGAACACCTCTGGTCTTGAGCACCCTAAAACCAGCTCCATCAGCTCACTTTTGGGGACATCCCCTGTTCTGTAGGGGTCCTTTTCTCGCCTCCCACCCAAGCCTGGAAACAAGTGAGGCTCAGTCTGTCCCTTTCTCCGCTTCATGTGGATTCCAAAGACAAGCACCCAGGCCCTTTGCAGTGAAGGGTCGAACTTTGTATTAATGAGGAGGTTGAGAGTGCAGGCTCTTCACATCACATCCTACTGTTCATTTTGGCTGCATTACTTAACCTCTCTGGGCCTCTACCACCTCATTTGTAAAATGGGGATAACAGTGCCTACCTCATAAGGTAGTGCAGATTAAATCCATCAATACAGTAAAGTGCTAACAGTAGTCCCTAGCACATGTTAAGCACTCAGAAAAATGTTAACGAGTGTGAGTATTGTGACTAGTACTCACGGCCAGGGGGCAGACAGGTGAGAACGCTTAGAGAATCTGGACTGCCCTTCACAGTGTTTACCCAGGTTTAGGCTCTGCCATTTGCTGGCCGTGGCATCTCAGGCAGGTAGTTCTTTCTGAGCTTCTGTTTCCTCCTCTGCCTCCTGAGAGCCTCCTCCACAGGTTTCTTTAAACGTCAGTGAGATGCTGTGTGTCTAGTGTGTACTCTGAGGTACCTGGTAGGTGTGTTGACAAGCCTTAGCAAAAGGGATTCTCTGCATTGAGTATGCAAAGGCCAGCACAAAAGCAGTTTTGATGCCAAAATTACCTTTTATCTGGTTAACTTCCCTTCCAGGGCAGCTGACACTCTGTGCGCACCAGCTGCAGGATCCCTGGGGGCCTTCTCAGCTCCTCTCCCGCTGTCCCAGCTGCCCAGTGTGTGCCCCTGGGACCAAAGCACCACTCTCCTTGATTCCAACTCACCCTCCTCCTTCTGCTGTACCCAGACACCATCCACACAGGGGTCCTTCACCCCGCCCAGCACAGCCCCCTCCACTCAAGCTGTGAGAGGCCCACAGAGTGTCACCACAGCCCCCTCCCACACTGTGGGTCCCATCTCAGGAGCTGCATTGTCACACAGCAGTGTTGGGGAGGGGGCCACGGCCTCTGCTACCATCTCTGCATCAGATCCAAGAAACTCCAGCCATCCACCTAGGGCTGCAAGCACAGCCAGGACAGAGCACGAAGTACATACTGCCGGGTTTATCCTTGACCCTAACATCTCAGCTGCCACTGCCCCACCGGCCAGCAAACAGGTTGGCCTCTTCCCTGCCTCCGGGAGCCCACTGAGCACACCCCAGCACGACTGGAAGACACAAGCCACCCCGCAGGCTCCCCACCCAAGCCCTTCCGAGGATGAAATTCCAATCCTGCTTTTGGACGACTCAAGTGAGAGTGAGGATGAGGAGGTCCGAGCGCCTCCCAAGGACGTCCCCTGTGATTACCACCCCTGTAAGCACCTCCAGACCCCGTGCGCAGACCTGCAGAGGCGCTTGCGGTGCCGGTGCCCCGGGCTCAGCAGGGAAGACACTATCCCAGACCCTCCCAGGCTGCAAGGGGTGTCAGAGACCACCGATACATCTGCGCTTGTCCGCTGGTGCGCCCCTAACTCGGTGGTGCGCGGCTACCAGATCAGCTACTCTCCCGAGGGCTGGCCGGGCAACCAGTCGGTGGTTGGGGACATCTACGTCACTGCCCGGCAGCACACCTTGTACCGGCTCTCCCCGGGCACCACGTACCGCGTGTGCGTCCAGGCGGCCAACAGCGCGGGGCTGAGCCAGCCGAAGGCCTCGGGCTGGAGGGAGCCGTGCGCCACCTTCACCACCAAGCCCAGCTTCGTGCTCATCTTCGCGGGCTTGTGTGCCGCCAGCGGCCTGCTGCTCGTGTGCACCCTGCTGCTGACCCTGTGTCTCTGCAGGCGGGGCCGGAGGCCACACAGGCAATGCTACGACACGCACCTGGTGGCCTACAAGAACCCAGCCTTTGACTACCCGCTGAAACTGCAGACCTTCAGTTAGCCCAGCTTCCCCTCCCCCTGTCGAACTGGATAATCACGGCCCTCTCGGCTCTGACAGTCTCTGACTCCCGAGAAGCCAAGCACTCCTCCAGCACACACTTTCCTTCCTTCTACTTCGCTGTGGCTGTTTCCAGAAACGTGGTGGCCCACGTGAGACCTCTCGTATTGGAACGGGCCATTCTTATTTTTCAATAGCCACCGGTGCTCCTCGGTGTACAGAACTGTGTGTGGAAGTAGGAAGAGATAAAACAAAGTCTCTAATCCAGCCTCTTATACTACATTAGTGACACACTCAAACCCTTTTAGGAAGTTGAGAGCATTATACTACGTGAAATAAGTTCCGTCTGGTCAAGCTCCAGCAAGGCACATGTTTGTTAGTAAAGGAATGGACTCCGGTGGGTTCTCGACCTCAGAACTGGGTGTGAGGAAAAGCGATGGTGGTTTCCGGAGGCCTTCCCGGTTTCTCAGTCACTTTTCCGGATATGGCAAAAATGTGCTTCTAGCTTTAGAGTTGAAACAGCAGTCTTTTCACATCTTTGCCCATTTTTTAATTGGCTTGTTTTTTGTTATTGAGTTTTAACAAGTTCTTTATAAATTTTGGATATTAGCCCTTTATCAGATGTACCATTGGCAAATATGTTCTATTCAGTGGGATGGTTTTTTGTTTTTGTTTTTTTTTCCCCATTTTGTTGATGGTTTCCTTTCCTGTGCAAAACTTTTAGTTTGATGTAGTCCAAATTGCTTATTTTTTTGTTTCCCTTGCCTGAGGCAATATATCAGAAAAAATATTGCTGTGAGAAATGTCCAAGATTTTACTACCTATGTTTTCTTCTAGGATTTTTATGGTTTTGTGAGTTTACATTAAAGTCTTTTATCCATTTTTTGTTTATTCCTGTGTTGGCATAAGGAGGTGGTCTAGCTTTTTGTTTTTTGCACATAACTTTTCCAACACCATTTATTGAACAGACTATCTTTATCCTGTTGTATGTTCTTGCATTCTTTACCAAATATTGACTGTAAAGGTATGGCTTTATTTCTGGGCTTTCTATATTCCATTGATCTATGTGTCTGTTTTTATGCCAGTACCATGCTGTTTTGATTACTATGGCCTTGTTGTATAGTTTGAGTCAGGTAGCTTGAGTCCTCCAACTTTGTTCTTCTTTCTCAAGATTGCTTTGGCTATTAGGGATTTTTTGTGGTGTGCACCCCTATGTTCACTGCAGTTTATTTATAATAGCCAAGATTTGGAAGCAACCCAAGTGTCCATCAGTAGATGAGTAGATAAAAAAGCTGTGGTACATTTACAGAATGGAATACTACTTGGCCATAAAAATGAAGAAAATCTTATCCTTTGCAACAGCATGGATGGACCTGGACAGCATTATGCTAAGTGAAATAAGTCAGCCAGAGACAGACAAGTACCATATGATTTCACTTATATGTAGCATCTAATGAATAAAATAATCTAACAAACAAAATAGAAACAGACTCATAGAGAGTAGACTGACAGCTGTCAGAGGGGAGATGTTATGAGGCTGGGTGAAGAAGATGAAGGGATCAAGCGAAAACAAACAAACTCATGGACACAGACAATAGCACCGTGATTATCAGAGGGGAAGAGGGTCGGGGGGAGGTAGAAGAGGGTAAGGTGGTGATAAATGGTGATAGGAGACCTGACTTGGGGAGTGAACACAATACAATGTACAGTTGATGTATTATAGGTTTGTACACCAGAAACCTATATAATTTTATCAACTAATGTCACGCCAATACATTTGAATAAAAAAAAAAAAACAGTCTTCTGGGAACACTTGTGAAACACAGGATAGACTCCTTTCTAAAGTCAATATTTGCCCTGGCTGGATTGGCTCAGTAGATTCAGCACAGGTCTGTGAACTGACAGGTCGCTGGTTTGATTCCCCATCAGGCACATGCCTGGGCTTGTGGGCCAGGTCCGAGACACACAGTCACATCCGTGTTTCTCTACCTCTTTCTCCCACCCTTCTCTGTCTGAAAATAAATAAAATCTTTAAAAATAAATGAAGTCAATGTTTATTGCATTTTATGTAAGTGGACAAAGGAGCTACGAACTTTTTGTTTTTAAAGAAGCATAATGTGCTCATTTTCAGGAAGTTTTTTTTAGAGAAATGAGCAGAAGAGAACCTCAGGCTCTAGCTTGAAGTCAAAACATTTCTCTGCATTAAACAATGCTTTCACGATTTGCATGTGTGTGTGGGATATGCCTTACTTCATCCTTCCTCATTTTTTTAAAATTATTTATTTTTAGAGAGGGAAGGGAGGGAAAGAGAGAAGCATCAATGTGCGGTTGCTGTAGGTCATGGCCTGCAACCCAGGCATGTACCCTGACTGGGAATCGAACCTGCGACACTTTGGTTCGCGCAGCCTGCGCTCAATCCACTGAGCCAAGCCAGCCAGGGCTCATCCTTCCTCATTTTTATACAATCTTAGAGAAAAAGTGATTTTATAAAATTATAATGGGGTCGTATTTCTAGATTTTAATTTTCTACAGTAGTATTGATGTTGGTTTTCTGTGGCTATCGTAACAATTATCACAAACTGGGTGCCTTAAAACAACAAAAATTAATTCTTACAGTTCAGAAATCCACAATCAAGGTATCAGCAGCATTGATTCCTTCTGGAGACTTGGAGGAATTGTTCCATGCCCCTTCGCTAGCTTCTGGTGGTTGCCAGCAATCCTTGGTGTCTGTTGGCTTAAACATCTATCACTCTTGTCTATGTATGCCTTCGCTGTCTCAGGACATTGTGTGTGTGTGTGTAGCCAAATTTCCCTTTTCTATTATTTCCCCCCTGCTTTATTGAGATACATGATATAAAACACTAAGTTTGAGGTGTCTAATGTGACTTGATATATGTATATATTGGGAAATGATTACAATAAGGTGAGCGAACACTTTCAGCACCTGACAGTTACTAAGATCTACTGTCTCCACAACTTTCAATTATATAATACAGTACTGTTAACTACAGTCATTGTGTTGTCTTCTGGAGATCATTAGATTCCCAGAACTTACTCATCTTGTAACTGGAAGTGTGTATATTTTGACCAGCTTCACCCATCCCACCCTCACCCCTGAGAACCACTAGCCTGTTTCTATGGAGTTTTTTTTTTTTTGATTCCACATATAAGTGAAGTCATACAGAACTTGTCTCAGACTTATTTTACTTAGTGTAATGCCCTCAAGTTCCATGTTCCTGCAAAAATAATAATTTCCTTTTTATGGTTGAATACTATGCTATTCCATTGTATAGACATACATCATGTCTCCTTTATCCACTCGTTCACTGACAGACAACTTAGGTCGTTCTGTCTTGTAAATAATCCTACAATGAACATGGGTATTCAGGTATTTCTTTAAGATAGTAATTTCATTTCCTTCAGATAAACACCCAGAAGTCAAATTTCCTTCTTACAAGGACCCTAGACACTGGACTAAGGCTGACCAAATTCAGTATGACCTTATCCTAACTGGATTACATCTGCAAAGATCCTATTTCTGAATAAAGTCACATTCAAAGAAGCCAGGGGTTAGAACTTGAACATATCTTTGAGGAAGACACAATTAAACCCACAACAACAATTATTTCTACTGTAAAAAAAAAAAAAGTCTAGTTTGATTCCCTTGTATCTTTTGTTTCCAAAATGTGCAGCAATAAAAAACCCTGCTGCAGAAACTGAGTACATTCAAGTTTGGGCTGAATAACTAAACCGTACTATTTATTTCTAGATCTTTGGTTTTGAAAACAAGCTCCCCCGAATTCTAAAGTGTGTGACTAGGTTCATCCCATGTGTAATCGAGAGAAACTGGACTGATTCAAAAGATATCTACCAATTCCTAATTAAAACTTTTTTTAAAAAGTGGCACAGCAAAATCCAAAACTGTGATTAATAAGCATAAAGTCTACTATTGAGACTGAGTCTGTTGTGTGGTGGCACCAAAATGAATTTCTGCCATGCACTGAGTCTGTATGCATCAACACTCACACCTGCCTAATACAACTCCGACATTTTGTAAACTCACAGAACTGACATTTTATAACAGCTCAGTATCAAAAAAACCTTAGGAGACTTGGACCACTTTTCTAAGGATTGAGGCAGCTTGAAGGTGAGACCTTAATTTTAAAGAGACTGTGAGTCCAACCCGTAAGTCACTCCAAATTGCATTGACACTACACTGTAAGCAAGCATAGTGAAGTGCCAAATCCTCATCTTTCCTGTAGCTACTGCATTTCAACTTCTCTCGGAACACCAAGAGTGTGCTCACACTTGGCTAGAGCTGAGACACGCTCAATGTGCCTGCTGGGTGGTCCAGACTTCTACCTTCAGCCTCACCGCCTCCCTGGCTAAGGCTATACAGGTGATTCCAGAAGGAAAGAACCAGCCACATGCCACCTCTTTTCCTTCTCACCACCCTCCATTCCATTCAGTGGCAACGTCCCTGCCTGCAGGCTTCTACGTGTCCCAAGCCAAGGGTGGCTGAGCAGCTAGTTTGGGAACAAGGAAGCCAGAACCTTGCAACAGAGGGGCACACTGATCCAAGGATGCTACCATGAGACATGAATTTTTCTTATAACTTCCCATTTTAATTGAACACAGGTAAACAGGTTGTTTAGATAATCACATTAAATAATTTCACATTATTCTTGGGTTAGAACCCAGCACAACTGGTAGCAACTGACCTCCACTGATAAGAGGGAACACCAGCACCAGCCCTTGTCTTCCTCTTCCTTCTCCCTGTATCTCCCATTCTCCTGAACGTGCTGGTAGTGAGAGTAAGGACTTTTACGTCAGAAGGTCCCAAACCAATTATTTTTACAATGTAAGTGCAAGTGACACATCTGAACAAACTTCAGGAATCAGAAAACCTACACAACAAATGACTACAATATGCTATACAAACAACCCAAGATGAAGGTACATTTTTTCCCAGCTTTTTTATTCTTTTAACATCTCAACAAAAAAAATTTCCCCAAAGTTTAAAAAACTTGAAAAAATAGTTTTGTATTATTTACAAACATATAAGTACAGGTTCTGGTATCATACAAACATTACCATGATAGAAATACAGTGGGAAGGCATGATATAATCCACTGCCTCTTGGATGGTGTAGGCTCATGGATGTCTTCATGTTCCACCTACCTCTGTTACTTGTTATCCTGATACATAAACTATTAGGCACCTGAGAGGTTGGAAGACTACTGAACATCATGTTCAGTGTATATTTTGATCTTCATATTTTGATCTCGGTATATTTTGATCTTCATAACCCCTTTATAAGGTTACTCCATCCACAACTAAGCTACCTTTACTGTCATTATCCTAAATGATCAAATATTAACCACAGGAACTATTAATATGTACACCAATCAAATTAAACATAAAATTGTGTAGCCACGTTGTATAGCCTATATATTTAAATGCAGGAAATTCCCTAGTGCTTTGTGAGCAACCTAAAATTTATTAAAGAGACATTTCCATGCTTTGGACTATTTTTTAAAAAAACATTTAAAAAATGACTGACAATAATTGGAATTAATTGGTTCCTTATAAGCTAATCAAGAAACTTAAAAAATTCTAAATGATAGTTTTATTTGTATTTAAAAATACATTGAAAATTCTGCATATGCCCATGATCAAGCTTATTTTCAATGCCATTACTTAAATATTGATGACATGGTTTGTTGTGACAAGTCCTTTTTCAAGATGAACACCAAAAGAGGGAAACTCCTGTAGATTTCTCCTGGCCCTGCCGCCGATGATGTATATTGCTTCCTTGCTAACAATGATGCATGACCTTCAACTGTCTTTTATCACCTGAACCGTTTTCCGACCGTAATGATAGTAGCTGTAAGCTGATGCAGCGGTGGTGAAAGCCGTGCAACACCTTTAATGGAAAGAAAGAAGTTAGCTGTCAGGTCAAAAAATCAGTAACTTTGTGAAAATCATAAAAAATACATTTAAAAGAGTTATTTAAAAAGTAAAAAAGGCTGTGTGGTGTAAACTTTTTAACTACAAGAATGTAAATGTGCTGCTTTTCTTTAAGACTTACCTGAATTAGTAACACTACACAATTAAGCTAGTTCTTGAGCCCAAGAAAATAATAATACTAGCAATTGTCGTTTTTGCCCAGACACTGCTCTAGGTGTCTTAGCTCTCCTTTTATGTTCACAACAACCTCACCCTCTACAGGAGGAAGGAGCCCCAGAGAAGTTGCTCAGAGCCACAGAACCACAGAACCACGTCAGAGCCCGGCTTGGCTTCAACTCTAGAGCTATGTGCCTCTGCTACCATTCATGCTGCTTAGAGTGTTCAACTCTTTCCTACCTGAGTCATTTCAGATAAACTTCAGCTTTCTTTTCTGACTTTTCCTTGAGTGAACTGTCAGATTAACCAGACTCTCTCTTTGAAATTAGATCAGGGGTGCTCAGGGCCTGCTGGATGCTCGCAGCTAACAGGCTGCTTTTACTGCGCCGCACACTTCTGTTCCCACCAGGTCAGGGGTAGGACCCTCGAGACTTTTTATGTGATCCTAGAGCTGTTTGTGCCAGTTCAATATTCTACATTCACACATCAACCTGTGAAACCCACAAGGAGGAAAAGTTGCTGTATCTGAGGACTAAGTTGGATGCTCTGGAAAGACTTGATAAAAAAAGGCAAGTTAAAAAATACTGTCAAAGCAAGCACGCAATGCGATTGTCAAAATACTAGAAAAAATGTTACAAAACCTAGAAAGTCTCTATATTCAGACTGCTTTGTCAATGTCTTAAAGTCTTAAAGTCACTTTAAAATGAGAACATGAAAATCAGAGAGGCTATATGGCTCGTGTTTATTCAAAGAAAAACAAAAACAAAAAACTTCTCTTGCTGAACCTATATTCAAAGAAAAGGCATTGGGCCTGGCTGGGTGGTTCAGTTGGTAACTTGAGCACTGTCCCATATACTTAAAGGTTGCTGGTTTGATCCCCAGTCAGGGCATGTACGGGAGGCAATGGATTCACGTTTCTCATATCGATGCTTCTCTCTGTCTCTGTCTCTCCCCCGCCCTCCCTCCTTCCTTCTTTGAATTCTTCCCTCTCTTAAATAAAAAAATCAATAAACACATCTTCAGATGAGGATTTAAAAAAAAATTTTTTTTAAAGAAAGGGCACTGGTCCTATTCAAAAGATGTAGGATGAAGCAGAATAAATGCATGCATGTGTGTTTTAGAAAATGTTTAGTGTGGGTACAATTTTTAAAGCTTCTTTAGCTTAACTGACTTTGGTTAACCAACTATTTTCTGGCTCAGACTGGATCAAGCAAAAGGTATTAATTATAAAGTTAAAAGTATGCTAAGGATGCTATGCTTCAATTATCAGTGTAACACATTTGGACCCTGAGAAAAGTCTGAATTTGACACATTTTCAGGGCTATAAATAAATAAGCACAATAAAATAAAATTCAAGCTTCTTTCTACAAGTTTCTGTCCCACTATGGCCCTTTCACAAAGCTGGACGCACTTTCCCTAGCTGATTCTCCCATGCCCCTGACCTTGCTCAGGGTCTGTCCTTCACCTAAATGGCTTTCTCTCAGTCTCTCCCTTAGGAACTCCACCTAGACTCATGGTTCAAATGCCACTTCCCCCTTGAAGCTGTCCCTCTTCTTCCTACCTGGAAATATCTTTCCTTTCTCCAAAACCCCAACATGTTATCTGGACCTCTCAATCCCTTTAACTTGCACAAAAGCTCCTACAAATAGAACTTCGACATCCCATGTCTGATAGTAAACTTCTTAAGAATGGTATCAATCATAAAATCCAGCCTCTTGCTTTGCCCAGCTGGTGCTCAATAAGCACTGTAAGAACACAGTAATTCTAGGACGGCCATGACAAGCCATTTTGTTGACATTCTCACAGTAAATGCTAAATTTAGCTTACCACAGTATCTGAAGATAAATGCTGTCAGCATAATTGAAAACCGGAGCTGCCAAAGAAGCTGCCACCAAGATTAACTGGACTGCTGTGTTTACCTTAAAAAAAAAAAAAAAAGTCATAAATGAACAGTGTCAACCAGGTCCAGTTTCAAGCTCACAAGATAGCATAACAACACACCCATATTATGTTTGATGTTCTAATATTCCTGCCAAAGAAGCTGGTATTCACATAGACGGGTGAACTTCACTAACTGGTCCACCTGTCTGCTCTTTACAGTGATGAGAAGGGCAACTGTCAGAAACTACCCCTATCTTGAATTTCTATAGCAACTCAATATGTTGCAAAGTTCTCTGCCTTTTTTTTTCAGCTCAATAAAACATCCCTATGAATACAGAAATAATTTCATAGATAAAAAGCAATGAAATTAGTTAAGTGACTTGCATGTAGTCATAGCAGGCTACAGATCCAAGCCTAGAACCCAGATTTCCTGGCACTTCATTCAATGCTATCACTTGCCTACTTGTCAAACACTGACCTGCATTCATTTCCATGAGAGAAGCTGTCTGGAGGAAGTGAAGTTTCCCCACCCTAAAGGGCAGCATGGAGGACAGAGGAAGAAACCAACCAGAAAGACATTGGAGACTCCCTCTACTTATCATGAAAAGTGTTCTGGGACAGAGGGGGTGAAGTATGAATCAGTGGGTGCTGTGCCTCAAGAAGCACTTACATTCTGTCATCCATTCTGCAACCCAATTATAAGAATTCTACTTCATTTTAAAAATAAGTAATAAAAATTGCCTGGAGAACTTCTTGCAAGACCAAGGATTTGAGGCATTTGTCCCTCCATTTTTTTAAGCCACTTCCTATCTGTATCAAATTGTTTTATGTGATATAAGTCACCTCAATTTAAAAGAAAAACAAAACCCACATATGTAGATAAAGGTCCACCCCAGGCAGTCTGTAAGTTTAAAATAACCCCTCTGTCCTGAAGATGACCAACATCCCTAACCTGTCAAACCTTCATTACAAAGGATGGGACACAAGAATGATTAGAGCAAACTTCTCAAAGCTAACAGAAAAACAGAAGTGCCATGAGAACCAGTGATAGTGCCCTCACTGCGTGCAAGCACTGGCCCACCGTTATTATCCTGAAGTGGGCTCAGGAAATAAGGATGCAGAACTAAAAACAATAGTTGTTTATTCAACTCTGAATAAAAACTTTTCCCCCATCCCTTTGCATGTAACAATCCATCTTGAAAACAAAAGGACCTTATATATGTTGTTTTCACCACAGGGAGGTGGGTATTGAAACCAGAAAGGAACCTTCCCTAAATGATGGCACTATTACCTCATCTTAAATTCTCAGACCACCGAGTGAAAACACAATGCATTACTAAAGATCCAAAAACCTCTGAGGTCCTGACCGGTGTGGCTCAGTGGGTTAGGCACCATCCAAAGTGAAAGGTCACCAGTTTGATTCCTGGTCAGAGCATATGCCTGGATTACAAGTTCGGTCCTGTTCAGAGCATGTGAGAGAGGCAACCAGCTGATGTTTCTCTCTCACACTGATGTTTCTCTCCCTCTTTCTCCCCTCCCACTACCTCTCTCTAAAACAAATAAATAAAATCTTAAACAAACAAAAATGCAAAAAGCTTTGAGGACAAAGAAAACTGAGTTAATGATCCTACTCTTTACCCACTACAGTCAATGCATGTAAAGTTGTCTCATTTTCAGCAACTCTAGACTGAGATTTGTATTCATTGCTATAAGCTTAAAAGGATGCTGTTTGTCTCTTACCTTGCTAATGAAGGTTGGTTTTAACCTAGCAGTGGCATAGCAAGGATTGAAATACTTGGAGAGTGTTCGCTGGCAGAGGACAAAAAAGATAAAATTTACTCAATTTAGCATTCACTGTAAAACAAACATTTTGTTATTATATGCAGACTAACAGTTACTGAGTGCTTACCACATGCCTGAATCTACGCTAGGTCAGCCTTTATCTGTACTTTTTGTTTCCCTAAAGGAGTATCATCTACATTCTTTATAAATCATACACACATTACTGAAATGGATTTTAAATATTCATGTTTATTTGTTAATTCCTATAAAATCCTAACACAATAGCTATCATAAAGTCTGCCTCATACTTCTTTCTACTAAATAAACACAATAAATCTCCCTTATCATTCATTGCCTTTTATAGGCTAAAAAACAACTATACTGGGAGCCAAAAGACAAGGTCATTATGGTATGCTTACATACTCAAATATTTGTAAAACCAATAAACAAATATGCAAATAAATCATTCCATGCTCATGTGTAGCTGTGATTTTAAAAAATCAGTTCTAGAAAGTCCATAGTAGTGGCTCAATTAATTAGACAGCAAAAGGGCTTGGTTATGCAAAACACTCCTCACGGAGTTTGGATGGGGCTGGCTGGTCTAAGTTTTATGTGTATCAACTTAAAGAATCTGGACTTACCACAAAACAAGCCTGTTTTAAACTTATTATTCATATATTCACTGAACAACTACTATAGCAAGATGATAGTTAATGTGTGCTTCTAAAAAGTTCTTGGTAAATAGATTAAAAAGAAGAAACTGCCATAAATTATCTTCATAAAGTGAAACTCAGTATACAACAGACTGATTCTTTTTTGCCTTAAGTTCTGAGTAATAATAAAAGAATATTTTCTTTGAAACAAACTCACCGGTGTTGGAAGAGTTCGATATCTGACATAAAAAACAGCAGCAATCAACATTACATCTCTTGAAATTATCATATAAGTAAGTGGAACTGAAAATCAAATACAACAATTTTGATTGGGATTTTTAAAATTGCTAAGATTTTACACATACAATAAAGCCTCACTCAGCCTTACCATAAACTGGTGTTTCTCATAAGTAAAAATTTTCATCTTTTATAAACACCTGTTGAAGGTTTAGGATCCTTAGAGTGAACCATTGATTTTTATACTCTTTAACCTGCACTCAAAACCAACTGAAGAGACTATGGCATTCAAAGTCTATGTCTGCCTTTCAGAATGTTGATCTTCTAGGCCTATTTTTGTTTTTTGGGTTTTTTTTTTTTTCCTTGCACATTTTAAGCTGCAGTTACTTGTCAGTAGCAGCTCTACCCAGCTCTACCCCACTAGCTCTTTTGTTATTTCTCAGCTTTGTGAGTTTGCAGAAAAAAGATCACCATGCTCATTATAGTTACAGAGAATGAAATGGTAAAGAGGTTGGAAAGGATGTCAGGAATCAAAACGTTCTAGCATCTTACGGACCTTTGATTGCTTGCTTCTGCATTCTAGACAACTTTACAAACAGTAAAATTTGCTATATGTACCACCTGCGGAGAAACAAAATATTTTCATTCTTATCTGGCCAGTTCTCACCCTGGCAATTGCAATTTTTTCTTCCTGCCACTTTCATTCAGTGAATTCTCATTAAACACGAATTCAACTTCTCAATACCTTCTCATTATTCCTAAGATTCTACAGCATGACCCCAGAGTCAGAGCCAGCAGAAGGATACTGCAGATGGATGCCCAAGGAACCCCTACTACTCCTTTGTTGAATGAGAATGGGAGGGCAGAGGACTTGTTTTACTTTATACCCTTCTGTGCTGTAAGAAGTCTTAACCATGAACATGTATCATTTTTATGAGAAAAAAAATATTTTTAAAAAAGCAGGGGAAAATCCCAAGGCTAAAAGTCCGTTCAAAATGTTTCAGTTACTAACATAAAAGGATCATGTACATCCCCTTCCATAATACTTCTGAACAGCTTTTTTGTGAATTACTTTTCTGGCTGTACTTATGGTCCTTTCTAGTTCTGACATTCTGTTGATTCTGCAACTTGAGAAAATCTAATTAACTACAGATTTAAAATTTAATTCTCTGTGGGTCACAGCTATGATGTACCATAAATGTTTATCCTTGGCCTAGTGCTGGATGACAAGACTATTTTCAAAGAGAAAATGGTTATCTACGCAAGTTATGGCATTTGGAGCACACAGAAGACACAGCTACAGCCACATGAATCAAGTAACAAAAGCCAGCCTGCCATGATTTTTAGGGCATTTTTGTGCCTGTAAAACACTTTTTATGGCAATCATTAGCCAGTGACACCTAACAGCAATCAGACTTTAAAATGCAGCAAACTCATGCAAATTACATATAGTAAACCTCCATAACTTGAAAAGAAAATAAACACCTATTAATGTATTTCATCACCACGGGAAAAAAGTATGCGACTTAATCCTAAATAAGAGGTTTCTGCAGAAGAGGAGACAATTCAATACACTGCAAAGACTTGGGTTCCATTTCTTTAAACTACCAAAATTACCACTTACTGAGCTTTGTTTTACGTATTTCACACATGTCACCTAATCTACATAACTACACAAAATAGGGATCATTATCCCCATTTTACAAATATGGAAAGAAGCCTCAGGCAGATCACATAACCCGGCCAACGGTCACCAGCTAGTTAGGACAGCCAAGAATGGGACCTAGGTCTGTGGAACTCACAGCCTATGCTCAGGGCACTGCATTAGGTGCCAACCCAGCCGTGTGACGAACAATTAGCATCTCTGGACTCAGTTTACCACCTGTAACAGTCTGGGGGAGGAAAGGATTGCTAACAAAATCACAGGGTCCCCAAGCTAGACTGTCCATCATACGATCAACCTGCGGAGCTTCATAAAAATCACAGGTGAAACCTCCCTGGGGGCCACAAGCACAGCCAGCTGGACCCTGCTGCATTAGCTGATGTCCAAGGCCTCTGCCAACTGACAGTATTTATGCAGCTCTTCCTTTGGTTCTTTGGGCACTCTTATCCAGTTTCCTAGCTTTCAAGTCTTCTAGGTGACCCTACTTTCTCTCCTGACCTTCCCTTCCCCTTCCTTCCAGGGCTAGAACAGCTTTCATTTTGCCTACCAGAATATGATAGCATGTCAGTGTGGGTGAGAGGGTGTACAATCTGCCAGGGAATTGCTCTAAGGTTTTCCTCCCTTGCTGCTAACTGTCTGATATATAGTTAATGTCTGCAACAAAGAAATGCAGCATGGACAAATCTTCTTAGTGTTAAAGGGAAATAATAAAATTAAGTCACTTGTACATATTAAAAGTGGCCATTATCAACATCATAGGTTATTGCATTGAAAATAATAAATTTAATAATGTATTATAGAAATTTATTTAAACCAGCAATGAGAAGCTGCTATAGAGTGAAACCAGAAATAATATAATGATATGACAAGGAATCACTACTTGGTAAATGTGGCAGAACACACATAAGCAAGTAGAAATTACCTGAGATTCACATCCTACACTGTCATAAATGTAACAAATCAAAGAATTTGTTTTTATCCTTCTCTCCTCTTCCAGAGAGAGAATGAGAAAGACAAATATTATCCCAGCTGAGGAAGAAAGCAAATTTCTTAAAGGAGCAAGGAGCAGTGTAAAAAGAAGATATGAGAGTGCATATATGCATCTCTCTGGAAAACTCATCTAAAATGATAGTAATGAGAAGATGTAAAGTCACAAAGACAAAGAGAATGGTTAGAGAAGATAAATTTCAAGTTCTAACTAAGTTTATTAGTAGTAATTGTCTTACTAGAGTGGGGAGAGCTGAAGCCTAAGTTATTCACAAACAGATGTTTGCAGAAGCAGGCACTTAGACCCCTGGCGCCCGGCCTGACACCATTCCACCAGGTCTCTGTACCAGAGCTGTGAGTCTCTGCAGCCAAGAGTGGTTTTTATGATTTTAAATGGTTGGGGAAGGGGGAACCCAAAAGAGTACTATTTCATATGTGAAAATTATATGAAATTCAATTTCTAGTGTCCGTAAGCAAAGTTTTTTTGAAATACTGCCACTCTCATTCATTCATATATTCTCTATGCAGAGTTTAATGGTTGCAACAAAGACCAGCTGGCCCACAAAGCTTCAAATATTACTATATGGCCCTTTACAGAAAAAGTGTGCCAACCATTGTCCTACCTGTTATCTCTGAACACAGGGCTCGGGCTCACTGGGGTAACAGGGATTAAGTGAAAATCAACATTCTGAAATCTGCTACTCCCATCCCAGGCTTCCTCCCACAGCTTTGCTCTAAAACACTGGAGGCAAGAAGAGGACTTCTCTACAGAATAGATGTACAGGTACTGAGAGTTCAGGGCCATGCCTGGTCCTGCCTTTCACCCTAGAGAAAAACACACTGCCCAACAAACTCCACCAATGCTCAGACAGAGCTCAAATAACATTTTATGCCTCCCTAAAATATAAGCAGGCAGCCAAGGATCACCAGACATTTCAGAAAGTCTCCATCACAAAATAAAGACCAAAACAAACAAAAAAAATGGAATCTGAAAGAAACAGATACAATATGGTGGGGGGGGGGTGTCAATAAAAAAAAACCTTAAAAGTAAAAACACATACAGACATGTGCCACTTAAAGACAAATAGATTCTGAAAAATGCATTGTTAGGTGATACCCTTGTTGTACAAATGTCACTGAGCATACTTACACAAACCTATATGATACAGCCAACTACACACCTAGGCTATATGGTATAGCCTATTGCTCCTAGGCTATACAAACCTGTATAGCAAGTTAACACACACAGCAACACAAGATTAAATCTCACACAAGAGAATGATGCAAATGAGAGATACAGTAAGCACAAGATGCTGTTAGCATAACATGGCTAATGCTCTACAGCAAACTTTTTTTAAAAATCCTCACCCAAGGATATGTTTTATTGATTTTAGAGAGAGAGGAAGGGAGGGAGGGGGGAAGGGTGGGAAGTAGAAGAGGAAGAAGGAGAAGAACAGGGAGAGGGAGAAAGAAAGAAACATCAATGTGAAAGAGAAACATCGATGGGTTGTCTCCCTTTTGCGCCCAGACCCCGGATCGAACCTGCAGCCTAGCTATATGCCCTGGCCAGGGATCAAGCCTGCACCCTTTTGGTGCACAGGATGACATTCTAACCAACTGAGCCACCCGACCAGGGTCAAACTTTTTAATAAGTAGAAAGAGTATACTCTAAAATAAGAATAAAAATATAGAACAGTAAATACAAAAACCAGTAACACAGTCATTTTTATCAAGCATAATGTACTGTACACAACTTCACGTGCTACACTTATAGGACAGGCAGCACAGTAAGTCTGTTTACACCAGTATCACCACAAACACATGAGCAATGTACTGCTCTATGACATAACAGTGGCTTCAACATCACTAGGTGATAGAAATTTTTAGCCATTATAATCTTGTGGGACCACTGTCATGCAAGTGACTAACAAAAAACAGTTATGCGGAGCATGACTATATAAACAGGATAGACAGGTAAGGATAGACTGCTTCTGAAGCAGAAGACATCCTGAATGATACTATTTATCTAGAAAATTTTATTTAAAAAGGCAGGTTTTTTAAAAAGAGAGCATGGAACAAGAGCTCTTAGAAATTAAAATGTCCATGACATAATTATCAAAGACATGATATAATTTTCAGAACCGGCACCACATGGGTTTTCAGACTGAAGTGAACTACTTAATACCTAGCACAATGAAAGACTCACACCAAATTCAAGTAGTATCTAGAGCATAAACCAAGGATAACGAAAAAATCCTGGGCTGAGCTTCCATTAATTTCTGACTAAATAATCCAAAACAATCCTCCTGCTAAGACAACTAAAAAACATTAAAAGAAAATCTTGAGAGTAAAAAGCTTACAAGATGCTAAGAAAGTGTCAGGCTAATGACTGTTAAAGAGTGAGAACTCAAAAAAATAAGGTTACACACTCAAAGCCACCATCCCTACTCCTTGGAAGTAGGGCACAAAGCTGAATGGAATTTTTGGTAGCCTCAGAGGGCCTGGGAGAGAGCAGTCAGAGCCCAGAGCCCTTAAGGCTGGGATCTGAGAAACCACCTCCTGGCCCTGGGCTGGAATCTGAAGGACTATCCCACAGGACTGGGAGAGGGGACAGCACTGAGGCCTTACAAGACTGTCTCATCACCTGATGATTCAGGCGGTCCCAGCTTCTTAGCATTCAGAACTGAACAAAGTCTCTTCTCTGAAGAGCGATGAAAATACTCTTTCCTACACGTAAAAATAGTACTCCAAATTCTTCTTTAAACATTAATACAATGTCTAAACAGTCAAAAATAACCAAAGACACAAAATACCATAAGTAAGAATGGACAGAAACAACAAATGAGAAAGACCCTTTTCAGAAAGATATGAGTTTAGAATTATAAGTCTATAAAGCAACTAAATTTATTATATTCAAAGGGCTATAAAAACAAAGATTTCAGCCGAGAACTAAAAACTAGAAAAGATAATTGTAAGTTTAAAGAATACAATAGAAATTTGATAACTGAAAAATATGACGAGAGAAACAAACTTGACACAGCTGAAGAGAGAACTGGTGAAGTGAATGAGCAAGTGCACTGGCCAGCACCCAAAATGGGGCCTGGCAAGAGAAACACGAGGCAATGTACAGAAAAGATGTAACACACTTAAAAGATACTGTGAAAAAGTTTGACAGAGGTACACTGCAGTTCCAAAAGAACAGAAAAATAAGCAATAGCATACCTAAAGAGTAAGGCTAAGAATTTTTGAGAACTGATTAATGATATCAATCCACAAATTAAAAAGCCCAGTAAATCCCAAGCAAGATAAATAAAAAGAAACTCATACTAAGAAATATTATTGTGAAACTGTAGAAAACCAAAGGCAAAGAAGAAATCTTTAAAGCATTCAAAGTAAAAACATTCCCTTCAAAAAAGACATGGAGGGGCAGTGTTCTTATTACCAAGAACAGAAACAAAAAAATAACTAAGTACATTAAATGTGCTGAAAGAAAACAACTACCAACCCAAAACTGTATACTCAGCAAAAATATCCTTCAAGAATAAAAGCAAAATCAGGCAGAAAGAAGACAAATACTGCACAGTACCACTTTTATGTGGAAACTTAAAAAATGAACTCAGAGACAGTAACAGAGTGGGTGCCAGAGAGTGGAGGGGAGGAGAAACAGGCAGAGGCTAGAAATGGGGCAAATTTTAAGTTTTAAGATGAATATGGTCTAATAATATACAACATAATGATTATAATATAAAAAAACACAAAATAAACACTGCTAAGAGATTCACTTAAAAGAGCTGGGAGGCCCTTAAGAAAGTCGGGCCTGTGCACACCCTGTGCCTCAGTTCTCAGGACTGCTAATAAATTGCTGAAGTCAGCTCAAGGTCAAACAATCATCTTGGAATAACAACTGCCAAATGGACACATATGAACTTTACCTACTTCCTTGTAGTTTTTGCACATAGGAACTAACCAATCCCTGCTCAACTCCCCAGGATCTTTCACTTGCGTGGAAGAATTACATTTTGTGGTTTTTGCTTTTACAAACCCTGCCTTTCTTTGCTGTCTCCAGGGTGCAGTTTGGGTTGCTGCCTGGATCTGTGTCTTTAAGATGCCAAATAAAACTTTTGTTTTACAGTCTCAAATATTTATTGGTTAACAAGGACTACTGTTAATAACACTTTATTATTTTAATTGAAATTCGCTAAGAGTAGAACACAAATTTTCTCACACAAAAAAGGCAAAATAAAAAATATTTTCAGAGAAATAAAGACAATAATGTACTACCAGTAGATCCATATGAAAAGAATTTCTAAAGATATACTTTAGACAAAAGAAAAATGATTCCAGATGGAAGATTTGAAATACTCCAACAATACAAACCAAAAAAGTAAACATAAAGATAAATCTAAATGAACAGCCCTGGCTGTTGTGGCTCAGTAGATTGAGTGCAGGCCTGCAAACTGCATGGTCACCAGTTTGATTTCCAGTCAGGGCACATGCCTGGGTTGCAGGCCAGGTCCCCAGCTGGGGTCACATGAGAGGCAACCACACATTGATGTTTCTTTCCCTCTCCTTCTCCCTCCCTTCCCCTCTCTCTGAAAGTAAATAAATAAAATCTTAATTTAAAAAATCTAAATGAACACTGATTTGATAAATAGTATCATGTGAATTTAAGAAATATATAAAATTAAGTTATGACAACAATAACCTACATCAAAATTACAACTAAAATATAGAACCACCATCACTCAGAACCGTCAGAAATCACATTGGGCTAGAGACCAACAACCACCTATGTTGGTCTCACACACTGATGTTTCTCTCCCTCTCTTTCCCCCTTCCCTCTTCTCTCTCTAAAAATAAATAAATAAAATCTTTTAAAAAACAATAAGGTCAACTGAATTCTCCTTAATTCTTTCCTCCCAAGTGATTTGTATTTATTAGAATGAGACCACTCCTGCCCCCTTCAACCCCACCAACGATATATGAACACAATTATGACTTTCAAAGAAGCACATAAATATAAACATTACTCCAATTCATCTTTTAATTTAGTATGGGAATTTCAAAGCCTAAAGATAGAGGAGAAAAAAATGTCTAGAGGATTCTATAGTAGGCTGAAATTTCTTCCTCTCAAATGTCAATAATACATGCTATTTGTTGAGATACCATGTAGCAGCTTCTTTGTTCTCAGATACTATTTTAAACTCTTAGAAATAGTTTAAGTTGAACCAAGGGAGAAAAACTAAGAGGCGAAGTAAAACTAAGAGAGAGGCGAACAACCAGAAAAGCACATGCAAAATGCAAAGCAAAAGATCATAAAATTCTGCTAGGAGGAGTATTCATAATGTAATATACAAACTAATATACACAATTTGAAATTGCATAATAGTGTCTAACAAAAGTGTGAAATATTAGAGATCTTCAAAGTTTCAGAGTTCTAATTTACTATGATTAAATTTTACTTAGGAAAACTTTAAATTGATTTCAAAAAGCTAGTCACTAAGAACATATAACAGTTTCAAAACAATCTAGAATAATATGAATTGGCACTGTGAAATAATATCTGCTCAATTTTAACTTTAAACGATCTTACTAAACGAATTCTACTAGTATAATAAGGACATAAATTCTAAAGTAAAGCAAATAGCTTTATAAGCCAAACAGTTCAACAGTTTAAAATTAAGAAAACAGTCTGAAGTTGAAAAATGTATTTTTGGAACAAATATCCTACAAGAAATCCTAAGCTGACTTACGTCATTCTTCCCTGTGCTATAAGGCAGTACACATGGCCCAGGCCCACGTGGCTCAGTTGGTTGGAGCATCGTCCAGTAAACTGAAAGGTCATGGGTTTAATTCCCTGTCAGGGCACATGCCTGGGTTGCAGGTTCCATACCCAGTCAGGGCTTGTACAAGAGTCAACCGATTGTTTCCCTCCCCCTTTCTCCCTCCCTTCCCCTCTAGCATGTCCTCAGGTGAGGATTAAAATAAAAAGTACGCATGTCAGCATTCTTACCTGGAATAAGATCTGCATAGGTCAAGCTAACATATAAGATACTGATAAGTATTTTATCAGCAAGTGGATCAAGAGCACTTCCCAAAGCTGATTTTTGATTGGCCCAGTTTCGAGCAATAAATCCATCCAACTGAAAATAGAAGTTGTTTGTTTTTTTAAATAAATGTCATAATAGGTACAGAGTAGATATCCTGAAGAGATACCAGAATAGCAACTATACTTTTATAAAATGTAAATAAAATCTTTCTTTCTTACCCCCAAACCTTCTTAGTCTTCCACTGGTAAATATTTAGTTTTTAAATTACCAACTGGCCTGAAAATAATTTCACTTTTCTAAGGTACTTTTCTTTTTCAAAGCCTTCCAGTATTTCTCAATGTTTTCACAATGCCCCTTTCATGGGATGAACCCAGACACAAATTTAGAGATGTAGAAATCCCCCCAAAACTTATAGAAAGCATGACTGACAGAGCATGGACTAGAAGGCCCCCTCTTGAGCCTTGGGCTGAAGCTGCTTTCACTTGCAAGGACTTCCCTTTAACTGTGAGACTTGCTCTTACCTACTACTTTTCTATGATATCATCCAACTCCCTCAGTTTTAATTATTTTCAGGGTTTTTGTTTGTTTGTTTGTTTGTTTAGTGCCACTGTTGAGTCCATATCTGGCTGCATTTGCATGACCTATATTTGAATAAAACACTCAATCCTCTATGCCTGGCCTTCTTAAAATCTCTGATATGAAAATTACTTATTTACTATTCTTGCAAACATATTATATTTTAAGCAGAGGGCATACCTGGTTGCCACTGGGCCAAATGGTGCCCACAAGCTGGTTTTGTATGACCTGCTCAAAGCTTTTATAAGTATGAATTAGTTGCCAATATTTAAATATTCAATGTCTTACCACAAAGATCCAGATCTCCAGGCCCACCCTGGGGCCACAAAAGAACTGAAACCAAGTATCACCTATCCCATTAAACAAGGTGGGTGTTTTCTGGTTTTCCAAGTCCCTGCTTGGCTTTTACTGATTTTATTTAACTTTAAGCTTCAAAAATGTTCTAACCCTATTTCCAAGGAAAACTATCAAATTAATTTAGATGGATTTTAACACAGTATATCTTGTAGGAGAAGTCCTCTATATCTTAAGTATTCCAATGAGTTAGAGGAGACAGCAGCAGCACAGGACAATGGTTAAGAACTTGCTTTTTGCAACAGAACATAACTTGTTAAAGTCCTGGCTCCCTCACTTACTGTGTGACCTTGGGCAAATTATTTGGCTTCACTAAGCCTCAGTTTCCTCATCTGTAAAACAGAAACAGTATTACATACCTCAAAGGCCTGGTTGTCTTCAGCAATCAACATTTAGTAAATCCTCCAAGAAAGCAGTTACTAAATAGTATCACCACAACTGAAAGAACCTATTTAATTCTCAGCCAGACCAGATGTAAAACTAGCTAACAGGAGTACTGGAAGGTGGGGACTGGAATATTCAGCTTTCAATTCAGCTTCTGACCTCAGGGAACCTCAGCTCCCTTTTTACTATCTTCACCGGGTCATCCTCACTGTTCCTCTACCCATGTTGGATTCCAAGTTCATCAATAGCATCCCTGCTCTCAAACACCTGTAATTCCCTACTCCATTCCCCCTTACTCCTGCTCGAACACAACTACCTGTGTACTCCAGCCAGGCCTGTACCCAAGCAGCTGAACACTTACCAAAAAAAATCAAAAACAAACAAAAAGACAAAACAGCCCCACCCGTGTGGCTCAGTTGGTTGGAGCGGTGTCCAGTAACCGAAAGGTTGCAGGTTTGATTCCTGGTCAGAGCACATACCTAAATTATGCATTTGATCCCTAATCCAGACACGTACAATCCCTGGTCTGAGTGCATAAGGGAGGCAACCAATCTACGCTTCGCTCTTGCATCGATGTTTCTCTCTCTCCCTTCCCCTCTCTAAATATAATGAGAAAATGTCCTCAGGTGAGGATAAAAAAAACACACAAACAGGCTGATTGACGCCACTTCAAATTCATGACCACCAGATCTCCCTTGGGCACTTAGTATTCCCTGGACACACTACACCTGCTTACCTTCTCTTTTCACACTGTCTCCTCTCACCTCAAACCAACTCCATCCCTTCCAAAACCTCTCACTCTAGCTCATGGCAATGTCTACATCTTCCACGCAGCACAGAAACAGACCATCAGCGCTCCCTCCTATTCCCACCTCCAAATCCACCACCTACAGGAACCCACTCATTCTCTCTGCCTTCCCTGATCCCTGATCCCAGGTCCTCTCACCTTCTGTGAGTTGTCGTCCTCCTTCCCCACCTTCCCTGCATCGTCAATCTCTCCCATCCTACCCGAACATTAATTAGTTAATTAAGAACAGAATTTTCCCCAGTATACATATCTTTAAAACCATTCTTCCTTGACCCCATTTCTTTATTACCCTATAAAGCAAAGCTTCCTCAAAGTGATGTCTATTGTCATCACCACCTCGCATTTGAACACCAGCCCACTCTGTCCCCATCCTCTATGGATGGTACTCATAAAGGTCACCAATAAAGTCTACATTTTTAGGTGACTTGACAGCAACACAAATTCAAGCACTTTCTTCACCTAACTTCTGGGACACCTCACTGCCTAATATGCTCCCTTTCTCGGCAGCTGTTTCTTCTCAGTGTCGTTTTCTTGTTCCCTTTCCATTGCGCTGCTTACTGCTCGCTCCTCTGACCCTTTCTCTTATCACAGCCTATATTGACTTTGCCCAGACCTGACTATCTATATGCTGATAACTCTCAAATCTATCTCTAACCATGACTTCTTCCAACTCCGAAGTACTCCATTCAACTACCCAATTGATAACTCTACATGAAAGGGCACAACAGCCCTGGTTGGTGTGGCTCAGTTTGTTGAAGCATTGTCCCATAAACCAAAACGTCACAGGTTTGCTTCCCAGTCAGGGCACATTTCTGGGTTGCAAGTTCTGTCCCCAGTCAGGACATGGACATATACAGGAGGCAACCAATCGATACTTCTTTCTCCCCCTGCCCCACTCCTCCACTGCTTCCTCTCTCTCTGAAATCAGTAAATATATCCTCAAGTGAAGACTTTAAAAAAGGTATAATAGTTCTTGGTATTTTCCACAAACTTTGCCCTACCCGGAGTGCTGCTAATCCCAGAAAATGTTAATTTCCATGTACCTGCTTGTTGAAAAAAAAAAAGTAACAATCTACCAGTCATATTTAACTTTTTCTGACCCCATACATTCAATCCATCAATGTATCAACTCTATCTTCAAAACAGATCTCAAACCCATTCACTTCTCTCCCATTCCAAATTCCTACCTAAGTCCAAATGACCCACCCCCTCAAGATTTTTGGAAGCCTTCTAACCAGCCTCTCTGCTTCCACTCTCACCTTCCAATAATTCACTCCCCATAAACAACGTAAATCAGGCCTTCTCATTCCACTGATTAAACCTTTAATGAATCCAGCCATCTACCCAGCAGCCACTCTGGAGGCATCAAAACCTCCATGGAATAAATATGAACTATAATACCAGTTAACTCAGGTTTCCAAATATACTGTTTTATATATGAAAATGTAAATGAGGCTCCTCCCTTTCAGTGAATATTGCAATCTCGTGTGGCAGCTAAAGAAATCTACAAACAAAAAAAAAATCAAATCCAATAGATGAACAAGATTTTGTCTATTCCAAAAAAAAAAAAATTCCATTGTTAGTATAAAAAGCCTTGGACAGGCTTGGAGACCATATTACTAATGAGCAGAGGCCTTCAGGCTTCAGAGATAAAAGCAGGAACAAAACAAAGGAGAGACTGTGAGACTGGGGAGAAGCTGTGACAAAGAGGACCGAAAACTGAAAACCAGAGGTGGCAGCCGTTTTGGACCATGTTTGACGCATCTTTGGAAATGCCAGATACTGGTGCAAATGCCCTCCTTTGTTTATCCTGCAAAATCTTCAGCCAGTTCCACATTGTTCACCAGCTATTGGCAGGTAGAATTTTGTTTCTATGAACCTCAAGACAATAACTGATCTTACAATGAAAGATGCTGTAAAACTTTTTATTAACTGGAAACTAGTTTCTCTTTATTCTCACTAAATATTGAGCAAAGTTTTTCAAACAAACCAGTTTTTAGAAGCACCAAATCATTACTGCCTGTCGTGGGTGCTCATATGGATCTCAGCCAGCCCTGTACAAGAATATATTGTACCTATTTTGCCCGGACTTTAAATTTTTCCTCTACCTTTTCCCTACTTCCCTCAACTGTGTTATTGTAGGACATGTAGTTTTATAAGCCATTTCAAATCCCTGGTGAAACAAAGTAGGAGATGAAAACAAATTATGTCTTATAGGATAATGGCCGGCCAGTCTATGAAAGCCTATTTAACACATAATGTAGTCTTCTGTTATAAAACTATTTTCCAAGTTCTAATTGGAGGTGGCCCAAGTAAATCCTGCCCTCTACACCCTCTACACAGTGGTGCCCAGGAGCACTCCTCTCCTTTGTCCAACTGCTGGGGGAACAGAAGGGTGGATGCCTAATGCCCACCTAGGGCAGGGTCTTTTGCTGAGTGGTCAGAAGAGTATGGATCACAGGCCAGATATGTGGGGAGCCGGTGGCCTCCCCCCAAGCGGGGCTCCGGCATCTACAAGCTCCCTGATCACAACAACTAGCCCACTGTTTCCCTGTCCACCAGTAACAACCAAATCTCATTGAAGATCAGAGTTATTTCTCTCTATTACAATAAAGAGAAAAATAGTCGCACAGCTTCTTTCCTTTATTTCTATCTCTAATGCAAGTACTTGGCTCTTTGGAAATTTCAGTGTTTTTCTATTATGAAGAAGTTAAAAACCAAGAGTAAAAAGCTCCCTCTCCTATGCCTTCATACAACCTTCACTACTTTCCTTAGATCATATAAAGAATAAGAGTCCCACACTGATGCTAAAGACAAGCCCTACACAAAGTGCCAGGTGAAGTTCATCTTGAGGATTTCCTTCCAAGGAAGAGCAGACTCAAGTCTGCTGTTTCCATGTAGTAGAAACTCTGGCCTGTGGAAAGGAAGTGAGTGACTTTATAACTTACCAAATCAGTTAGTCCAGCTAAAGCAAAAACTCCTAGCGCTATACTAAAATCTTCTTCAATAATCAAATAGCCCAAAACTGGGGCCAAGCCAATTCTTGTCATTGACAACATATTTGGGATTGTCCACGGGTTTTCATACTGAAACACAAAGACAACAAAATTTAAATTAAATTCATACTTTAAATAACTATATACATTAGAAAAATACACTTAAGGGTCAGAAGTTACATATACTGTAAATTTTAAACTGAGTTTTTAAATTGTTTTTATAGACATCACTCTAAAACTGTCAAGAACGCCAACTGGTATGGCTCAGTGGGTTGAGCATTGTCCTGCAAACTGAAAGATCTCCAGTTTGATTCCCATCAGGGTGCATGGCTGGGCTGCCCGCCAGATGCCTGGTTAGGGGTGTGCAAAAGGCAACCAACCAGTTTTTGTCTGGCACATGGATGTTTCTATCCCTCTTTCTCCCTCCCTTCCCCTCTCTCTAAAAATAAACAAAATCTTCTTAAAAAATAAAAATAAAACTGTCAAGAATACAGAAGATGAGTCATGTACCTAAAGGGAGGCTAAAGAGTCTACTATTTTTGAGTGAGTTTTCTTCCTCAAGAAAGAATGCATATTATCTACCATATAAATCAAGCCTTTAATATATGACCGCCATTAAAATTCAAAACTTTAAATACTGCTTTTAAAAGTGAAATTTCAAAGGGATGTCAGTGTAGAAAAGTGTCAGAAAAAAAGCCAAATTATCAACCCATGGCATTCTGACTTAAAAGCATTTACTGCAAATAACCTCCCTCACTCCTCTAGTACCCATCAGAAGAATACTAAATGACACACAGTGTCTGTTAACATGAATGAAGAGGGAGACAAGACAGTTAATTCCATAACCTCACTACTAAATTGGAGAATTGCTGAAGAAAATGGAACTAAGAATAGGGATTGAGATCCTTAGGAAATAGAGAGAAATTTGGAAAACTCAAAATAGCCACAGAAATGTTAAGATCCCCAATTAGAAACCCCTGTGGGAGTTTTATGATTCCTTGAAACTTCGTCTGGAGCCAAGCTGTTTTAAATTGACACTAACAAAAGGGCTTCTTGGCAGCTGCTCTGAAGAACATTTCTTGCTTGGCAAACAATGTTTCATGAGAGGATATTTTAACTCTATAAAGCCTCAGCCTACCGCCTCTAAGACACCTTGCACAACAGGATACATAAATAATATCAAGAAAATGTCTCTCCCTAAAGCCTGGCCTTTTCTCCCACACTGTGTCAAGGCTGCCAATTCTACCCCAAGGGACTATCTCATAAGATTAACCCTAGTTAATTTCTTTCTTAATCGGTAACCAATTTGCCAGAACATTTATTTTGATTTTTTTAAAGTGATCGTTTCCATTTCTAAAGACATCTTTTAAAATTCCATGAACCATCCTATAAGCGAGTTCAGATACTAAGTTTCTGTTTTAAACAGAACCTGGCAAGAAATGTGCATCTCAGCTTGGCAGGAAATGGGGTTATTAGGATCAGGTGGCAGAATACTGTCCTTGAAAGCTACAGAAAAACTTCAGCTTCTCCTGGAAACAATCACCCAACAAAAAGCAATACAAATCTCTACCCAGGGACCTTTTATTGAAAACAGACCACATTATATCATTACCAGTAAATGGAAACATTCTTGGAATATGTTCCAAATTCAAGTTCGAAGGTCAGAGTGTTTCAGAGAAAAAGAGTAAGTCTGTTGACCACACTGTGGTACAAAATTAGTCAAACACCCAGTCAATGACACAACTGGTGGGATGGGGGGGATGGGGCCTTGATAGTTCATGATTGAGAAAAAGGAATAACAAAGCAAAGGGTCAGAATAAAGATGCCCAAAATTAATCTCAGATATTCCTGGGGCAAAATTAAAGACAAAGTTGCAAACAGCCAGATCACTTCATTTGGTGAATTAATAAACCAGGTCGAAGGCAGTGAAAGAGGTTCTTTTTAACGCCACATAAACTATGTATCAGTCAAAATCAAGTTACCTCGTTAATTTATAATCATTAAACTTGTAAATTTCTAAATTAAAATTAAGACACCTTATCTCAGATTACCCAACCAAATAACCTGTGGCATACTCGACCAACTACCGCCGTTCTGGGAAGGGCTTCAGCGAGCATAGGCAACCTCAGAGCACCCAGCCTTCAAACCTTGACATGCTTTAGCTATCAGAGATGCCGAGAGCCCTGCCAGGATGTGACTACCTCAACCCATGCTGCACAACTGCTGAAGGCAGTACTGGGGCGCACTGAAGACATAACAATTGAAGATGTAATAATTGCATGAGGCTTGCTAACGTGACATCAAAAGCTCTCCTACATTCATGCTCTGGTGTCTTCTACTTGGGCAGTATTTCAACAGGTACGTAGACAAATACTTCCCTCCGTTACCTCAAGACAGTTTTATTCTTTTTTTGTAACTAGAGATCAGTCTTTTAACTAAGACTTAAATTATTTAATTATCAGTCATCTAATAGTATGTAAGGTCGCCAAAGGTCAAATAATAGTGAACGAAACCTGCACGAGCAAACAGAAAGGCCTGTATACCTTTCTAAGGATTCCCACAGACTTTCCCCCAACAGTGGGGATTCCCTTCATTAAATTAAGACCAGTGAAGGCTATATTTATCAATGCAATATCTGGGCCGGTCCAGCAACCAAAGCGGATAGAAGCGGGGGTTGAGGAGTCTAACTTGACTACGGAGACCGAAAGTGGACACTGTTGGTACCTCTGAAATTCATCCCACACGGATAACCTGCCCGTAACTTCTCTCCAGAAAACGGTTTCAAAGCTGTGAAACCGAAGCGCCCGACCAGAACCAATCAAAGCACATTATCAGCATCCAGAACTGAGCCCCGACAGGGCCGGCGACCCCCCACCCTGGGTTGCCCCTTCTCTTCCGTACGTACCAGGCTGGCGGCGCTCCCTGGGCCCCACCGGCCGCCCCGGGCCTCGGCGGCGGCACCCTCTTGGGCCGCGGGCCCGGGCGCCGCCTTCCCCGCGCCTGAACAGTGGCTCCGCGGGACTGCCCCAGGCAGCCACTGGCCGAACGCGGCCGGGCGCAACCACCGGCGTTCCGCCAGGCAGCCCAGGCAGATAGGTGCGGGCGGCAGCAGGGCCCCGAGGGCGCGCCCCTTGCCTGGCCGCACCCCCGGCGCCCAAGCGGCTCCGCGCAGGGCACCCCACGAGCCACGCGCCACCCGCGAAGCCAGCATGGCCCTGCGGCTACGCCGCGGCAACGAAGGCAGCAAGAGTTTAGCAGCCTGGGGCACCGACGAGCCACTTCTCCATCAACTGCCCTAAATCTCCAAGGACCTCGGACACTTCCATACTTGTTTTTAAACCCCAGCACGTTCCTCTTATACAGGTGGCTTGCAGCCGCCAAGGGCGGACGGACGACTTCGCGACGCTTTTGCGACACCGCCGCCACTGGACTTCCCAGCGCCCCCGGCGGAGCGGGAGGCGCGTGCCGCTGAGCCCCGTGGCCTTTCGGGTAGCGGGTAGTGCGTGTTGCCTGCGCCTCTGCTCCTGGCCGCGACGAAGTCCGTGGGGAGGGGACTAGAAAGAGCATCGAGCTGGGAGGGGTGAGTGACCGCTTGGTGGACCTGGCCGGGAGAGGGCAGGAGCCTTCCCGGGTCTGAGCCTGAAGTTCTCCCAAACTCGCGGCTTGCAAAAGGACCCCCTTCCGAGGTGTGCGTGGCGGCCTTAGGGCTCTCTTGTGAGGTTTAAATATTGATAAAGTGGTCCAGAAGTAATCAATGCCAACTCCCAACTTTCTCTTCGTTTGAATGTTGCATATGCCAAAAATACGGGATTTTAGAAAATGTCAATAACTACTAATTGTTTACCTGAACAGTGTGTTCACTATAGCCAAGCAAGCAAGCCTGCGCTCTCTGTGTGTGTATATATATATGTGTATATATATATATGTAGAGATTTATATATGTAACGCTTATCCCATTTAATCCTTCCAACAACTCTAAGATAGGGTCCTTTATTACCTTTACACTTCTATGGATGAGGAAACCTAGGTTTAGAGAGCTTCAGAAACTTACTGGGCCTGGATGGTAGCTCAGTTGGTTACAGCATTGTCCCCATACTCAATCCCTGGTCAGGGCACATACAAGAATCAAGCAATGAATGCATGAATAAGCGAAACAAGAAAAATCAATATTTCTCTCTCCATTCCTCTATAATCAGTAAATTAAAGATTTACTAAACATATATCCAAAATAATAATTGATTGTTAATTGGTTAATATACACTAATTACTAATATAGTTTTATAGCATACATTATACTTATTAGTATATTATTAATGCAGGATTTCGAAACTGTTTTCTTATTCAGTTCTGTGTCAAATCAAATTTGAATTTTTTTTTAAGATTTTATTTATTTGTTTCTTAGAGAGGGAAGGGAGGGAGAGAAACATCAATGTGCGGTTTCTGGGGGTCATGGCCTGCAACCCAGGCATGTACCCTGACTGGGAATCGAACCTGCGACACTTGGGTTTGCAGCCCACGCTCAATCCACTGAGCTACGCCAGCCAGGGCTAAATTTGAATGTTTCTTAATGCTGAAGGGGAGCTGAGTTCATGAACCCCAAATATGCCTCTTTGGTCTATTATTTTAGGAAGGATCATTTTAAGAAACAGAAGCCATTGGGAGACACTCTGAAAGCCAGGTAGAAGTTACTCTTCCTGAAAGGACATTTACTTTTATAAGGGAAATCCCCATTTGTAAGTGTGTTCCCATGACTGTACCAGGGCTGTCTTCACTATCAATGGGGAAGGAGTGGACTTAAATGTATGTAACAATCTTACCGTTGTTTATGGTGCTTTTCCTGGTAACCTCGTAACTAACCCTCCACCTCCAACATCTTTTGTGTTTAGCATAAGGTGGTACTTAAGGTGATGGCTTAAGGCCATTTTGCCAAGTTATTCAGTGTTCCTGGGTCTCTCCCATGTACATACAAGATATACATGTTTTAAAATTTAAATTTGCTGTTCTCCTTGTCAATGTAAGAAATGTCTAAACCTGTAGAGAATTTTTATGAGTTTATTTGAGACAAATTGACATCAGTTGCTAGGAAGTAAAATCTCCATGGATCAAGAAAAAATAACTGCACATAAACTCCACTTCTGTAGCATGACCCTTTCTTTCTCCTTTCTCTCCCTCCACTCCCCTTCCTTAATCATGAAGCCCTTAGGACATCAGATTGTGGTTAGCATTGTACTGTCTCTAAGAACAAGGTTCAGGTCTATTGGCCACAGAAACAGTTTTGGTCAAACTAAAGGTAAGAGCACCTCAGTTGTGTTACCCCACCCTCATGAAACTAGACAGAATGACACCAGAGACCTGATACAGTGATCAGCCACTCCCTACCCTGGCCCCAACCAATCAGTAAAGGCAAAAAAATTTTTCCTTTATATAATCTTTCCTGTGTGGGCCATTGGGGAGGGGGCTAGGTTTTAGAGTGTTTGCTTACCTGTGATTGGGATTGGCATCTTTTCCTTACAATAAACCTTTACTTTCTTTGCTACAAACTTCTGTTTGCATCTTATTGGGCTTTGATGCACACAGGCAAATGGACCCCTTTTAGTATAGTAATAAAAATGTTCTGGAGAATGGCAGTTTTGTAGTTTATTTTAAACAGAATGAAAGGAGGAGACATAAGGAGAGTTACATGCAATCAGGGATTAAGTGGGTGGGAAAGCAAAGCAGGGAAATCTCAGTAATTGGATAAAAAGCAAAATGGAGAAACACTACTTTTACATTGGTGGGTACAGGTTAGTTAATATTTATTGCACATGGATATAGTCTGCGGAAAACAAGGTAACAAGAGTTCTGTGGTTTCATTCTCTGATGCTGGTGGTTGTGTGCCGTAGGTACGGAAAAGAAAATTACTCTGACATTTCAGAGTAATCTTAGATGCAAAAGGACAATAGACACACTCACTTAAGGTAAAGATTGACCTTTGTCAAGGAAGATACAGGCTTAGGACGTGACTACCTGCCATGACCAGCTTTTAGTTAGGAATTTTTATGTTCAGACCATCCTATGTGGTTACTTTTGGTCTCTGAGTTTGTAAGACCCACCATGCAGGCCTCCCCTGAGCTTATCAGGTTTAGTATGTGGCCCCCTTTGGCCCACATTCTGCTAATCTGTCTCATGTCAATTTGATTATTAGACTAGCCGGAAGAACCTAGAAGGGTGGAATAAAAATTATTTTTTCTCCCCTACAATTTTACAGAGCCATCCAGAGGAATTCACTGGCTGGAACACTGTTAGCTCCCAGGACTGGCAGCTGAGAGATTTGTGACAAAACACCAACCAGAGGCCCCAGCCAGGTAGTTCAGTTGGTTAGAGTGTTGTTCTGATACACCTAGGTTGAGGGTTTGATCCCTGGTCAGTACATATATAGGAATTAGCCAATGAATGCATATATAGTTGAAACAACAAATCAGTGTTTCTCTCTCTTTAAGTCAATAAATAAAATTTCTTTGTTTTTTAGAAAAGATCAAGATAAACAAGAATTACATGGGACTGAATGAACTGATGAAGATGATTATAATTTTTTGGCCTTTGAAATAGTGCAAATTTTTTAAATTCTTGTTTTCCAGATATATGCAAATTTGTTTCTCTTAAATGACCTATGACTTAGAGCAGTTTGGTGAACAAACTGTAAGCTGAATTGAAACATTTATCTTTTTCTATCAGATCCCTCCAGAATTCAAAAGCTCTCAGTGAATCAGTGAATAGTCTTATTTTCATGGTCATATTTTTTGTTGTATAAATTCAATAAGAATCTGTATTCTTTATTAACAGAACACAATTGGAAATTGGTTAAATTACCAAGGCTTTATCTAGAATGTTGTATTTGACAAAGACATGTATAGACTCAGATATGACCAGATAGCTCTAAGGAACAAAGATTGACTTTGAGAACCATTAAAAGTCTTAGAAAAATTGGCCTAGTAACAAAAGTGTTCAGCAACCTTACCAGGTGAATCAGAAAGGCCACTTCCTGGGAGGTACTGGAACCTCAGGATATTTTGGAGACCTTGAGAAGCAAGGAATTAACCCAAACTGAAGGTACTACAGGCAAAGTCTGATGACAAGTCTTTGGCTTGGCTTTTCTGGCCTCAAGGGACTTCCTCCCACCCCCCTGCCCAGGGACCTTTTAAAGTTCAATCTGAAGATTCCTTGTGAAAAATTCCAGCAAAGCAGCTTTAAAAGAGCCTATATTGGGGAAAAAATACAATTAAATTTTTTTTAAAAGACACTATATAATTAATTGCTATTTTTATTGTACTTACAGAAATAATCAGGCCAAGCTTATTGAAATAACTTATTTTGCAAATACATTAGTCTTAATTTGACTCTCTTTGGTAAAAATGAGGTTGATTTTAGAGAGAACCTATAATACACATGGATATTAAATTATAGTGCCTGAGAGAACCACTGAAAACCAAGTAGAAGTTACTTTTTGTGAAAGGACATTTACATGGGAAGATGTCAATAAGAAAGTAACATTTGAGGGATGAGCCATGTCGCTCTCTGGTGGAAGAGCATCCCACACAGAACAAACAGCATGTGCAAAGGCCCTCGGGTAGGAATGTGCCTGGTGTGTTCCAGTCCTAGAGGTCTGTGTCATGCTTGTCCTGTCAGAACCTCCCTGGGCCAGGCACCATACAACAATCTGACCCAGACTCTTAGAGCCACAGTGTCACAAAGATGTTTGTACTGCAGCCTTGGCCAGCCTTCTTTCGTTCGGAGTCCCCCTCAAAATTAGAAGTATTATGGGTTACACAATGAATGGCTCAGGATAGCATACCTCCTCTGTTGTATCTTGCTTCCAAAATCCAAAGAAGCTGGCCAACTATTGAGTACAGCAACATGACTTTTACTTCTCAGGATATGTTCAGATATGCTCTAGACTACTGGACTCTAGAAGCTTCCTTGAAGAGATAGGCCCCTGAAGTTTTGTGGGTTTTATCTCCAAGTATATGGTATGGATGACTTGCCAAGGCATCTAGGATATCCTGGGTCTGCTCACCTATCATCCTGTTAGCATGGTGTCACCAGTGGGTAGACCAGAATGGCATCTATGGGATGATGAGATCGTCAAAAGTAGACACTGAATTGTAACAGTAAATCAGGGGTGTCACAGATCCAAGATAAGGCATTCAAGCAATACTGTTTTCCTTGGCAGGTGAAAGCAAACTGATTTCAGTTTTCTCTCATTGGAATAGAGAAAATAACATTGCCAAATTTATAGCTGTATGCTAAGTTCCAAGCTCTATGTTGATTTGCTTTAAAGAGACTACATTTGGAATGGCAGCTGTAATATGAGTAATTTAAAATATCCCACTGCTTTTTTTTTTAAGAGATGTCTTAGATAATAAAGGGAGTTAAATAGTGCACTCCTTTATCTTCCAGAAGAGTTGGTGGCAATAATCCCTGTGATTCCTCTGGCAATGCAGCATTGCCCTTGGTTTACTACTGTGGTCTTTCTATTACAATACTTGGTCTTCCTGGCATAATAGCCCTGATCCGTGAATGAGGGAGCAAAGGAGATTCTTCAAGTTGACAAGTATGTTTATTCCAATTATGCATTCAGGAACTCATAACTGTAGGGTAGGTTCAGGGACCCAATGGGTCCCTGATGGACTTGGGCCCAAATTCCATTTATTATGTGATCACCGCAGCTCCACCACCCTACTTCATCCAATTTAGATCTGCAGTGATATTCTGAGTTTCCCAGGATTAGTGTTAGCTCATAGGCAATATATGAAATTTTTGGTTTTATTTCTAGGCTCAATCTATTTACATAAGAATTTTAAGTTTCTAATTGGTAATAAGAGAATATTGTCTAATTTTACTTTTTGGAATTTGTTAAGGTTTATTTTATGGTTAACACTTGCAATTTCCACAAGTATTTGAAAACAAGGTACCTTCTGTTTTCAGGGTGTGGACTTTGGTATTTATCAGTTAGATCTACCTCATTAATTATGTTATTCACATCTTCTATAGCCTTAATTTTGTCCACTCGACTACTGTGAACTGAGAGAAGTGAACCAAAGTCTTCTATCAATGTGTTTCTGTTTCCTAGTGTCTCCTGTAGTTCTGCTTCTGAGTGCTGTCTTGTTCATAGCCATAATTATTATGTAATTATTACAAATTGCTCCCCCTAGTATTAGAAATACCTTTTTTTGTTGAATGGACTTTGTCCTGGTATCAGCCTCTTTTTATATTAAGATCACACCCTTCTTTTTTTTTTTTTAGTAGATTTAATGGGAGGAATCCAAAATGAAATTAAAAGGTATAACGTAGAATTGCTGAGGTTTGTGTTGCCCCTGCCACTTTTAGAAAACAAGTGAGAGTTTTGTTTTTATTGAAGACAGTAAGTCATAATTGCAATCTGATGTCTGATGCAAGAATGGTTTTGCTTTAATTTCTGACACTATTTTAGAAAACATGGGAGTTACAACATAAGAAGGCTTATTCCTCCCAGAAGGTGTTTTATTCCTTAACTAATGCAGAGTGTTGCTGTCCAGCCTTCATAATATAACACTTTGGAGCAAACATGCAGCCTACTAGGCACTCACTGGAGGCCAAATTGAGGAAGATCTCCATGGCCTCTATGACCTTGTCCTTGGTGTTGTAAACAGGGAGGAGGGTGTCCCAGACAATGCAGAACCCTAGCATGCTGAACATCAACAATTAGGCCTCACTGCAGGTGTCAGACTGGTTCTGGGTCGGGAAATTCAAGAAGCCCCCCAGGGCCAAGGAGCCGGAGTATTCCTGGTCACAGTAGAAGGCAGTGATTGGGCCCTTGTTGCGCATGATGATGATGTGGCCATGTACAGGGTATGCATCTATGGGAATGAAGGGAAGGAAGGTTCCCAGCCAGGATCCAGAGTCAGTTGGTGAAGAGGGCAAATGGGAATGATGGAGTTAGGAGCCACTGATACCAACTATTACCTCATCCTTTTCTCTGGTGCAGTGACCTTCAAACCCAGGACCACAGTAGCAGTTTGGGCTGAGACTGTGGACAATTCCAAATGTTATTTGCTGAATAATTCAGGTGACTGTGTTGGGATAGCTGATGAAGAGTAAGGAGCAGAGGGAACAGAAGGTGAGGGAGATGAGCAGGACCCAGCTGAGTCCAATGATTGGTCTTGACAATTGGAGTGTCTCAGAGCTTCACAAAGAACCCAAGGATCACACCCATGACAACAGAGGAGCAGACAGCTGTGCAAGGCAGAGTCATCCCTCAGGAACATCACAGCTTGTGGCAGGCAATGATTTCTCTCTGTTAGAAACTGGCCTCCTGAACACTCTGTCCATTGATCTATATCCTGGGCTACGGCTTTGGGTGGGGAGCAGGTGGCATCAGAGATGTACATGGATAAACTGAGTTGTGTGGCTTCGGGGCGAGGGCTGGAAGGACATCTGCAGGTGCCATCTCACCCTTACTTCATTTCGTTTGCATTTTTCTGGTACACCTTTAGCTTTCTAATTCACTTTTAGGTGTATCTTGCATATAGGAGTTTGTGATCCCATCTGCAAGTCTTTTTACTTCAGTAGGTGAATTTAGCCTATTTGCATTTTTAAAAATATTTATTTATTTTTAGAGGGGAAAGGAGGGAGAAAGAAGAGGGAGAGAAACACCAGTGTGTGGTTGCCTGTCCTGTGGCCCATACTGGGGACCTGGCCTGCAACCCAGGCATGTGCCCTGACTGGGAATCGAACCAGCGACCCCTTGGTTCGCAGCCCATGCTCAGTCCACTGAGCCACACCAGCCAGGGCCTATTTGCATTTATTATTTGGTTTAAGTTTACTTCTGTCATAAATGTTAGGCTCTTATTTTAAACTTTCATGATGTCATCTTTTCTTGGTTTGCTTTGTATATTTGTTCTAAAATTTGTAATTGGGATTTGTTCTATTCAGGTATAAGTCGACAAAGGCAGAAAGACAATGGCCTTTGAAAGAATTCATTGCCTACATTTCCCAAGAGAAGGGGCACATCAGTCACAAGGGGCCACGTGGGCAAGCAGCAAGGTCCATTAGGAGGCAGGAAGGAGGGAAAGCTGTGGCATTTATTGCTGTAGTGGTAGGAAGCTGTTAAGTGGGACGTCACCCTATTTGGGAAGGAAATGAAACATTTGTAGTTGAAGGGTTTTTATCAACAAAGGTAGATCACAGGGGACACATAAAAAAACTTTGGTCATTAGTTTGGCCTGTGATTAAATGGAGCCAAATAGATAACACAGAATCATAGAAAACACAGAAGCATTTCTTCTGGTAATTTAGGTTTGTATCTTTTCCAAAACTTTATATCCTTAACCTACAGCCTTGCAAACAATTATTTTCTCCTTTGAACAATGATATATTAGTATTTCCTTTTTTCTCTCCTTTCATATCTATCACTTTATTTTGATTGATATCTATGTGTTGACTTTTGTGAAATCTGCTTCTAATTCCATTAATAGATTTTTTTAGTAGTTTTAAGTAACTTTTAACTCTCCACCCCAGCCTTTAAAGATAAAGACATCACCATATTTACACGATTATCTACCTTCTCCCCCTTCTTTAAAAATAAGAATTTGACATTTACATTTTATTCTATGGCAATAATCCCCACATTTGTTTTTGTTTAAGTTTTGATCCTAGAGTTAAACATTCAACCATTCTGCAAGAGTGGTTACACTTTCTGGTTCTTGTATGTTAGGAAGCATTTGTTAGTTTTATTCAGTACCGATACCATTTGAACGCTCTCATTAACATATGGGGAAGTCTGGCTTCATTGGTCCTGCCTCCCCAAAATAGAACCTGGAAAACTCCCAACCATTCTTATGAAAGGGGCCTTCTTCAGTCAGATGTTTTTGGATGAGATTTCTATTCTGAGTTCTGAAATTCAGGGAGGCCCCATGAAGAACCCTTTGTTGCTCTCTTCTTGTGGGTAGGAGCATTCTTCCACCTTCCTACAGGTTTATTTCTCAGGGTTTCTGGTACAGAAGTGGCATCAGTCAGCATGGAGACAGCAGGACTTTCCTCTAGCAGGGGTGTCCAACGTTCTGGTGTCTCTGGGCCACACTGGAAGAAGAGTTGCCCTGTAATACACATTAAATACATTGTGACACATAACCAAAAAAAGTCAATATTTTAAGTAAATTTACTATTTTGTGTTGGGCCGCATTCAGACATCCTGAGCTACAAGCGGCCTGCAGATGGCAGGTTGGACACCCAGACAGCCCCATGTGCTGGTAAGGCGGCACTGGCTTCCTCTTCAGACCCGTTCTAAGACATGGTTACGGCAGTCCACCTCGAAGCCTATCCTGTTGGTTCACCAGCCTTCCAACAGTTTTGAGCTAACCAAAATTCTTTAAGAGAATTCATTTTCCTGCTTCAAGTCAGTTTCTATTGTTTGTAACCAAGAATCTGTAACTATAGCTTATGGGCCAAATCTGACCCACTACCTATTATTAAATGATTTTTAAAAACAAAACTATTCAGTATTCTCAATATGTGAAAATTTCAAAATTCAGTGGCCATGAATCAAGTTTAACTGTAGCATAGCCGTGTTCATTTGCTTACGTGTTACCTACAGCTGCTTTAGTGCTACAGTGCTGGAGTGTTGGGTGTTTGTGACAGAGGCTGAATGGCCCAGAAAGCCTATCTGGCCCTTCACAGAGTTCGCCGACTCCTCGGTATCAACCAAGTACCTGACTGAAACATCTGGGTATAAAATTATTCCTTAAAAATTTTTGTAGGCATTTCTCCTTGTTTTAGTGAACAATATTGCTTTGGAGAAATGTGAGGACAGATTTTGTTTTATTTTTCTCCTTCAAACCAGATAATCTATGTGACTTCTCATTTAACACCTCTCTTGTACTCCAGGATGGTCCAGAGAAGCTGCCACTGCCACCTTGTATGCCATGTTCTCACTCTCGCAAACATGAGATTTTACTTTTGGCTTCAAAAGGTATGCAAAATATACTCATAGAAACACCTTGTTGGTTTCTTCTAAAACCTTCAGCCACAGTCATCATCTCTGCTTCCTCCCTCGTGCAAAGCTGCCTGGTTCATCTTCATTGCTTTTGGCAGCTCTTCTTAGTGTTGTGGTTTGGGTTTTGTTTCCTCGTTCACAGAAGTTAGACTCTGTATTTTTGTTTCTGAGTTTCCTTACTGCTTTTGAACAGCTTCACAGGAGAGAAGGGGTAAAATACCTCCATCTTGTTACTACAAAATTTTTAATTTTCTTAATATTTTTCCTCTTAAATCAATTTCCTTAACCATTTCAGTTAGGCTCTGTACCACTGTCTTATTTGTAAGTGGTATAGTCACCCATTCTACATGTGTCTACCCCATAGGGGTATGTGATCAAATCCTGTTTGACTTGCTATGTAGCAGCGGTAAATAAAACAAAGTCTTTGTCTTTAGAAAGCTGGACAAGAGATGGTGGGATGGGTAAGAATAGTGGAAATAGAAGTAATAACAAACTATCAGATTTCAGATAGTTTAAAGATAGTGCTGAAAGGATTTGTTTTGATGAATATGGGCACAAGAGAAAGAAGAGGTAAAGATAACCCCCCAAGTTTTTGGCATGAGAAGCCACCATGTTGGAGTTACTAAACACTAAATTTTAGAACACCATGGGAAAAAGGGAGGTGAAATGGGGGGCGGGGGCAGAAGGTCATGTGCCTAAGAATAAACATGAGGCTGGCTTTGAATTTCTAGACAGTAACAGAGCAGTATCTAAAATTCTGAGTGATGATTTCCAAACTAAAATTCTGTGCCCAGACTCTTAATCCAGGGGTGAGGGAAGAATGTGCCCTATGGATTCTTTCTCAGGAAGCTACTTAGAAGATGGGTTCCACCAAAAGAAGGGAGTAAAGCAAGAAAGACAACACAGGAGACAGGAAATGGGAGAGAAAATGAGAAGTCCCGAGGTGACAGGCTGCATAGTTCTGACCGGAAAAGGTCAGAGAATTCCAGGAGGGAGATTTCCAAGAAGTTAAAATAAACTACTACGTTTGTTTGTATGTTCTGAGAAGAGACGTAGACTTGCAGTGGAGCCTTGGGGTCAAATTAGTGGCAGGTACATATAAAATTAAGTAGTTAAAAAACAAAAGTTTTAATTCCAGAGACAACAAAGAGTACAAGAAATAAATGAATAATATTCAAGTCATAACAGTGTAAATACAGATTTACCTAAAAACTGTGATAACTAAATTGGGAAGAAATGGGCAAGTGTGACTATGTATGTATGTAAAAGGGTTTCAGAGAACATTCTGACCCTCTGTAGTAAGAAATTAATTTTTAAAACTGAAAACTTAAGAATTAGTAGTATTAGCATGTCCTTTAGAAAAATGGAGATAAATAGGAACACAGTTGAGATTGAGCAGAAAATTAGGGAGTGTGGAAGTATGGAAAGTACAGGTTTTAATATAAGTCTTGCAGTTATTTACTTAAAATAAGTATGTTTATCTTTAGTAATAAAATACATCTTAAAAATGTTTCAGTAACTAAGATGTTAAGATAAATAAAGTTTCAATTTATTTCTGAAAGATATAAATTCATTTTTTTGTTGCAGAACTTTTTCAACATTAAACAGTAACTTTGTGTGGAGCATGCTCCCCAGATCGGAGACTGGGGCATGTGGGGTGCACTGTGGCAGGGAAAACGTGACTGTGAATGCTTCCCCAAATGAACACTTGGTGTGTAAAACTGTCAAGTATAAGAATAAAAGGTCAATAACAAAACTATAGTTTATAATTACATCATTTAGATAAAAAATATAAACAACATATTTTTAACTTAATAGAAGTTGTAAAAATTAACAAATAACTATCACTTTTTAAATTGGTTCAACACTCCTTTCCTATTACTTTTAGAATGTCATTCTTCAGAACAGTATTTTTCTGAATACTCTTCATTTTTGGGGTGGTTTTAAATTGCTAATAAACCCAGGAGGTTCTAGTTTCGTAGTCCTTTTACACAGTTTGAAGCTGGTAAGCCTTGGGGCCTTTTTTCAAGAGAAAACCTTGCTCATTTAGTGATCCAATAAAATTTTCGAAATCAGCAACCTGGAAGAAAACAAAAAAGAGTTAGCCCAAACAAACAAATCACAAGGAAAAGAGCCCACTAAAGTAATGTACAAAAATATGATTTTTAAAATTTCTCTCTCAAAAAGTAATATACAGTTGTCAAATATCTTGGGCAAAATAAATTATTTGTACTAACAGAGAAAACTGCCTACATATGAACTTTGGATTCTATAATGCAAAGCTAATAAAAAATGAAAACTCCAGTATGCACAGAATTTTTTAAAATCAATTTGAGACACATACACACACACACAGTGGTTTGTTGTTCCACTTACTTACACATTCATTGGTTGACTGATTTTTGTATGTGCCCTGACCAGGGATTAAAGCCACAACCTTGACATATCTGGATTATGCTCTAACCAACTCAGCAACCCAGCCACTGCAGCAGAGAATCTTTTATATTTGCTTTAGCTTAAAGGCTCCAAACAAAAATTAGACTAGCTTTTGAAATTAAATGGGCAATTTTCCATTTAAACTGTTTTACATGGCAGAAAAAGGGAAGGGGATTAAGAAGTACAAATGTCCAGTTATAAAAACTGAGGCTCAGAGACATTCTGATCCCTCGCTCACAAGGAAGGGACTGCCCACATGGAAACTGAGCCTGCCAACAGTGCGTCCTCGTAACCATCATGACACTGAAAAACCTTCTGAAAAAAACGTAGGTAAAGATAAAAACTTTTTAAAGCTCTACACAGCTAATTTCATAGCTTAAATAAAACAAATTTGTTTTTGTTTCGCAAAATGCCTACTCCATTCTTTTACTCCAAATCTTTTGATATTTAAAAATTCTATTATACATTATTAAAGACCTGACATTATTACAAAAAAGATTTATTAAGTATTTGGTTTATCATACCTGAATGTTCAGCTCTTTGGCAATTTGTCGAAGTTGATGAAACTGAAATAAATTATTGTAAGTTCTTTCAGCAATGTTGTTGAGAGCAGAAATAAATCTTTTTGCTGCTGATCTGTTGCTCATTCCAGAACCGTGCTGGGATCGCTCAAAATCTAAGTTCCCAAATTCATCAGAGTAAGTTCCCAGCATGCTTGATGGGAATAAACACAAAGTTACACAAAGGGATGTGGCTATAGAAATTTTTACTACAGGCCTCCAGATTATAATAAGAAAAATGTGGAAGTAGCCATAGGTCTCATGTAGCAGAGATTTAAACATATAATATTTAGTGAGTGGCCACTGTGAAATTTACTATGGTACAGACTGGGGATAAATATATTTTGGACAGTTGACACTTTCTTAAGAAACTTCTGAACTTGAAAAGAGAAATGCATAAAAATAGAAAGTTGACAGACTGTAACATAAATACCTGGAACATTTTTTTGATCCACAAAAAAAATTTAAACATACTAAATTTAGACTTTACTGGGTAAAGATGTGTTCCCAGCTCCCAGTGCAGCATCTGACAAATAGGTGTTTAAAAATACTCTAGGAATGAATTTAAGGGTTCTGATGACTTGTAGTAATCATTGTTAGAGGCTAAAGGATATACCTGTTATCTCCCTTTCTCTATTGCTCCCTCTTATTTTCATAGTATCATCAAGAGAAAAAAAAAACACGACAATAAATTTTAGCCAGAAGTCTGAAAACACCAGTTTCATATATTTGGCCATCCTCTCTAATACAGCCCTATTGCTGAGTCCTGGCCTGAACCTGTGTCTGTATATTGGGACAGATATAATCTCACAGTCAAGTTTAGAGGCAAAGATGTTATTTAATCAGGAATTAATCAAACATAAATTGATCACCTACTAAGCAGTGGGCTTATAGTAGATGAACAAAACAGGTACCATCCCTATTCTTTTTTTTTTAAGATTTTATTTCTTTTTTGAGAGAGGAGAAGGGATGGAGAAAGAGAGGGAGAGAAACACGATTGGTTGGTTCTCATAAGCGCCCCTACCAGGAACCGAATTCACATGTGTCCTGCCTGGAAATCAAACTGGTGACCTTTCACTTTGCAGAACAGTGCCCAACCAGCTGAGCCACAGTGGGTAGGCCCAATCCCTGATCTTAAAGAGCTCAAAGGAATGAATTTAAAGGATTACTAAAAAACGGAGCTTCATTTGGTTTTCTAAAATAGGTGAAAACCTACTTGAAAGAGAATGAACTGCACAAATAGGAATACGTGTCATTCAAATAAGACTAATAAATGATAATAAGACAAATGAGTATATGTTTCCCTCTGCAATACAGTATAATCTTACTTAAGGCTTTTAAAAAATATTTGTTTTTAGAGAGAGGAGAAAGAGAGGGAGAGATACAATGATGTGTGAGAGAAACATCGGCTGCCTCTTGCTCACCCTCAACTGGGGACCTGGCCTGCAACCCAGGCATGTGCCCTCACTGGGAATCCAACCAGCAGCCTTTTGGTCTGCAGGCCAGTCACATCAGCCAAAGCAAGGCTTCTATGACTGATTACTCTACCATATAATTTTACCATATGGTTATTTCTCAGATAGTTGTCAAAAATGCTTTAGGATACATTAATTATAATTGTTAATATTTTCCTTAATTATATTTAGCATATCCTATCTCATTTGGTCTTCTCAACAATCCTATGACTTAGGGACTATTCTTATTCCCATTTTACAGATGAAGAAAAAAAGTCTAGTCAAGTTAACTGTCTTGCCAAAAGTTACAATAGCTATGTAACATCTGGTATTTTAATCTGAGCTACATGCTTCAGATTTGAAGAAAGATAATGTAAAATATTTTAGCTACTTTCCTGAAATAGAAAAAACTCATGATAATCTCTTACATTTAAAGGGTAGCTCTGGAAAAAAATAAGAGTGGCGCTCTTCTCTTGTGTCCTAGTATATTTTTAACTTTAAGAGAAAGCTTTGTGAACTGTTGCCAATACACATTTCATTTTTACAGCTGTGTGCTCTCATAACTATGATAAACTATATCACAGTTCAGATTTTTCTTATTTAGGCTTATGCTTCCCAGTTATAATGTAGTTTAACTACACATTTTAGGTTTAAAATCACATTTAGGGCAAACATTCAAAAGCTGAAGGGATAAGAACTCTTAAATGAGATAATGAATGAAAGATGATTACTAAGGTCAACTTTACCATCGAAGAAAAACATTTCATGAGGGCCTGCTGTGCACTAGGCATGATGCTGGGCCCTGGAAATACACTGGTAAATGCAACAGGTAAGTTCCTGCTCTCAGAGAGTGCAGACTAAGGACAGCAAGCATGTTAAGTGTAACAAAACAATTCACAATCTTGTCTCAATGTGTTTAACTGGGTCTTAATCTATAGCATGGAAATTGTGCCAGGTAATTCCAATCATTTGGAATCAAACTATTTTATCTGAAAATTTTTATAAAAGCCAGTAAAAAAAAACCCCATTCAATTTAGGGAAACTAACTGTATCTCAAGACAAGTCAGGGAAACTGGTAATCTCATGTAGGTACTATTTACACTTAATAATGACACCTCTTTTTTCAGGAGTCCAGAAGTAAACTGACAGCCTAAAATAATTCAGATTTATCAGCAAGGCTACTTTGAGAAGCAGTACAAACAAGTTCAATGAGGAAATGCCTAAGAGTTCCTCTTGGATGGAAAAGCACATGCAAACAGTGTATAAATGATTACTGAGACATGCAGAACTAATCATAAATAAGCTATACAGCATTTTTATTGAAAAGGTAATTAAAGCATAATTTTTCTTGCTAAAGTCTAAGCTCAGATGTAAGAACTAATTGATGGCCTGCACAGACCAGTGGATTTATTGTGGACAAATACCAGATGGCTGCTTGAGGCAAAGTCTGGGGTCTGAGGCCTCGGGAAACTGAGTAAGGGTAAAGCCTCAAAAAGAGAATGTTCCAGTTAAGAGAAAGGGTGATCAGAGTAGTTTGACCCTTGATTTGCTTGACAGCCAACATTTTATGAAGTGGAAGCACTTGATGTTTTTCAGTAGAATCAGGCACCAGAAGACCCAAAGGGCGAGATATCATTAAAAGGAAAAGAGAAGTGGCAATCTTAGCTCGACCCCAAAAGTGGAGAGTTTAAGCACAAGATATACAAACAGAGATACACACTCTAGACTGTAAGTAAAGAGGCAGCTTCTTATTACATAAGAATTCCCTGTTGGTCCTTGTTTTAATTAGGAAAAAAAGAATACAAATTTTCTGGAATTTTGGTTAGGTTCAGTGACTGACTTTTCTAATGAAAAAAGGGATCACTATTAGGGCAGTTTCAGATTTCTTACTGATCTGGTCTCCTACAGGAAGTCAGGAAGGCAACTGGTATTTGTGGCCATTCCTTTGCTTCATATGTGAGCCACTGGCAGCATGCTGTATGAGAAAGTCTGGTATTTCCTACACTATCTGGCTGCTTATAAATGGCAACTAGAGGGTCCCCAACAATGAAGTCCACTGGAGATGGAAGAAAGCAAGCTTGGTAAAGCCTTCACCTGTAAGACCCCTCAAAACCTAGTACTGAATCATATATGAGAGAAAACTGATGGTTCAATACTGTATGATGCTAAACCAGTAAGATATTCAGATATAGAAGGTACTGTGTTAGGAATTGTTTGAAAGGGATGTTATTTTTGATCTTACTCATTGTTAGCCAGTGCTCTGGCACCAGGAATCATTAAGAGCTATCAATTCTTGAGTCTTTAGAGCTTTCAAAGACCGTAACCTCACTGTTGCTAACAAATTATGATACAGAATTAAAGATAAAGGTCCTCTTTGTCCACAGGCTGCTTATAGGGCAAGAAACAAAGGGCAGGTTAATGCTTAGATCTTCAAGAGGGAGCATGGGTGCCATTCTGCCCATATAGCATGCTTCTTCTAAAGGCGGCAGAGGGAACCGAGTGGCCTCCAAGGACCTGCCAGTACCAGCTGGGGAATGAAGAGACAGCCACATAAAGTCTTTCTCTGAGGAAAGGAAGAAAGGGATCTGCAGCTTAGAGCTACCAGAAAATAGATGGAAAGAAAACATAAAAGACTAGACCCAAGAAATCCTTTGAAAAGGGTAATAATTTTAGAAGTTTATGATCTATGATATGGGATCTGCCAGTTTTTTAAGCCTTCAGTGTGTGGTATGGGTCAGAGAAAGGGAGATCTCTCAGTGTCATGTCATCAAAGCTAGAGCTATTGGTCATAAATACAGTGTTAGTTATCAAGTGTTCACTAATGTGCCAGGACCATATTTGTCACTTTTTATAGCCTTGTTGCCAGGCTGTACCTCAGCACCATCCTTTGTGGTGTGTTTACACAGAAGGAGACTAAGAAATGGAATCTAACTTGTGGCAGCTCCAGGTCAGACTCTAAGGCCTACGCTCTTCCTGCTATGCTGTGCCCCTTGTACTCAGAGCCAAAGAGGAACAACTCGGCAGAGTCACCTGGTTCTGACGCCAAGCAAGCCCCAGAATAGGGGCTCTCAGGGCAAAAACAAAACACTTTTGAATTGCTCAACAAAATAATCTCACCCTTAGATTAACATATATTTTGGCCTTGGAAAAGTAGATTCCTAACATTTATATTTAATTGCTGTGAGAACATATTAAAAAGAGCTAGTTTCTACATTATGATGCATACATAATGGAATACTATGCAATTATTAAAAAGTAAAAGGAAGCTCTTTAGGCACTGATATGGAATGATCTCAAAGATGAATTATAAATGAAAAAAAATGTTTGTGGTATGCTACTACTTCTCCATTAAAAAAAAAAAGAATACACAGATACAGAGTTCTGGTAGGTACTTTATACCTGAAAGTCGTAACACAAAAGATTTGTTGTCACCACTGGGGCAAGAGAAGGCAGAATTAGGCAGCTAGTAAACAGTGTAGGAGGAAACTTTTTCCACTGTATACTTTTTGAACTTTGGAATTTTGAAGTTTATGAATCTGTGAACCTATTAAAAATTATGAACTGAAAGAAAACCTACCTAAAATAATCAGCCTTTGCTTTTATTGATTAAAAACATCTGTATCTAAGGTAGACATATATGATCAGCTGAAATATAACTTTTCTTCTTTTTTACCTGCTAGGAATCATGATCTATCAAATGACAAAATGCAAAGAATACAATTTAGCAATATTTGTTAAAATCCTAAAGTATTTATTTATCCCTGGACCCAGAAATATAATTTCTGAGAATTTCTCATACAGGTATATATCTACCCACATATGAATTATGTTACAGAGATTACTCATTGTAATATTGTTTGTAAGAAGAAAAGAATGGGAAATGTGTATTTAGTAGCAATAGGGGACTAGTTAAACTCTGGCATATCTAAATAATAGAATATTAGGATTTCAGGGTCTGGTCAAGATGGAGACGTAGGTAGACACTTTGCTTCCTTGCACAACCAAAAGGAGGATAAGAATCAATTTAAAAACAACAGACAACCAGAACTGCCAGAAAATCAAACTGCATGGAAGTCCAACAACCAAGAAGTTAAAGAAACATTCGTCCAGACTGGTGCTAAGGGCGGAGATGGGCAGCCAGGGCAGAGAGGATGTGTGACAAGGTGGCGGACAATGCCGGTGAGGCAGGGGCTGACTGACCCGGATTTCCACATTTACGCACAGATAAACCAGGAGGAACAACTGGGGAGCAAGACAGACTGTGAAACCCAGGGTTCCAGTATGGGAAAACTAAAGACTCAAAACCTCTGAACCTCTGGCTGTAAAAATCAGTGGGGGTTGCACCAGCAGGAGAAACTCCCAGTCTCATAGGAGAGTCCACTGGGAAGGCCCACAGGGTCCTAGAATGTACACAAACCCACCCACCTGGGACTCAGCACTTGAAAGGGCACAATCTACTTGTGGGAAGCTAGAGAAGTGATGGAAAGGAAAGTGGGGCAAGAGCCAAGCATGAGACATTGTTCCCTCCCTAACTCATTCCCCACAGAGAACGCCACAACACAGTGAAGAGGGTTGCCCCACACTGGCAAATGCCTAATGCTCTGCTCCTTACTATATAACAGGTGTGCCAAGACAGAGAAATATGGCCCAAATGAAAGAACAGATTAAATCGCCAGTAAAAGAACTAAGTGGTGAGGAGACAGACAATCCATCAGATGCAGAGTTTAAAACACTGGTAATCAGGATGCTCACAGAAATGATTGAGTTCAGCTGCAAAATAAAGGAAGAAATGAAGGTTATACAAAGTGAAATATAGGAAAACATATAGGAACCAACAGAGAGGGGAAGGAAACTGGAACCCAAATCAATGATTTGGAACAAAAACAAATAAACATCCAATTCAAACAGAATGAAGAAACAAGAATTCAAAAAAAAAAAATGAGACGCTGAGGAACCTCTGGGACAACTTTAAACATTCCAACATTGAATGCAAGAAATTGAAACTTACTTGAAAAAAATAATGAAGGAGAGCTTCCCCAATCTGGTGAAGAAAAGAGACATACAAGTCTAGGAAGCTCAGAGAGTCCCAGAGAAATTGGATCCAAAAAGAAACACACCAAGGCACATCATAATTACATTACCCAAGATTAAAGATAAGGAGAGAATCCTAAAAGCAGCAAGAGAAAATGAGACAGTTGCCTACAAAGGAGTTCCCATAAGACTATCAGCTGATTTCTCAAAAGAGACCTTACAGGCAAGAAGGGGCTGGAAAGAAGTATTCCAAGTCATGAAAGGCAAGGACCTACATCCAAGATTACTCTATCCAGCAAAGCTTCCATTTAGAATGGGAAAGCAGATAAAGTGCTTCTCTTATAAGGTGAAGTTAAAGGAGTTCATCATCACCAAGCCCTTATTATATGAAATGTTAAAGGGACTTATCTAAGAAAAAGATCAAAACTATGAACAGTAAAATGACAACAAAGTCACAACTATCAACAACTGAGCCTAAAAAAACAAAAACTAAGCAAACAACTAGAACAGGAACAGAATCACAGAAATGGAGATCACATAGAGGGTTTTTTCAGTGGGGAGGTGGAGCGGGGAGAATGGGGAAAAGATACAGGGAATAATAAGCATAATTGGTAGGCACAAAATAGACAGGGGGAGGTTAAGAAGAGTATGGGAAATGGAGAAGTCAAAAGACCTTATGTGTACGACCCATGGACATGAACTAAGGGGGTGTGGGGAATGCAGGAAGGTGGGGTTGCAGGGCAGAGGGGGATAAAGGAGAGGAAAAATTGGGACAACGGTAGTAGCATTATAAATAAAATATACTTAAAAAATAAATAATAGAATACTATTTAGCTGTAAAAAAGAAGTCCCTATTTCCTAATAGGGAAGGATCTCTAGATATAATGTCAAAATTTTTCAAGGGGTACAGAACACTGTAAGATATGCTATTTACAAAACAGTAATGGTGTTTTGGTGGAGAGGAAGGGTGGGTGGTAAACAGATGGAAGGAAGTCTTCTCAAAATATGTAATTTTGAAATAATTTTAGAATTGTGTGAATGTATTGCCCATTCAAAAAAAATTTTATGTAAAGATGATTTACCCAGAGATATCTTTTTATTATTTTTTTATCCTTATCTGAGGACATTTTTTTCCTTGCTGTTTTTCTCTTTTTTTAAGAGAGAGAAAGGGAGAGAAACTTGATGCAAGAGAGAAGTATTGATTGGCTGCCTCCCACACACGCCTATACTGGGGATTGTAGCAGCCCAGACTGGGGATCGCAGGCACCCGCACCTAGACCGGTTGAATCTGCAGCCTAGGTACGTGCCCTGACCGGGAATTAAACCTGCAACCTTCTGGTTAAAGGAGGACACTCCAACCAACTGAACCCCACTGGCCAGGGCTATCCAGATATTTTAAATGAAGAAAGTACAGTTTGTTCAGAGTAAAATGTGATCCAATGGACTAAATAAAAACAATTTTGCTTGGCCTAATTAAAATCTGTATTTGAAATGGAAAGATGACTGACATTTTATTTAAAACATTAAAAAATTTAATCTTACCTATATTTCATAATTTCAACGATATCCTCAGCATCTTCTTTGGTTGCTTGCTCTCTCAATTCCAACCTCGCTCGTGCCTTTGAAAGAAAACAACTATTTTCAGATAACAAAATATTATAGATATATTTAACATTGTTTGAGCAGGGATAGTTATATCTAGGCTCTCATTTATTCATTTTACACAAAAACTGGCTTTTGGAGAAGGGAGCTATAATATGAAAAAACTTAAAAAGTGATTTGAAGATCCAAGTATAAGAATAATCATTCATTTAAAATATGGATTAGCACTCACTTTGGCAGGACATATATTAAATACAGATTAAAACCAATTTTTATCTACTAGCATATCTTTCTGTGTTCATTTCAGAAGATTTGATGATGAAATATACTTGGTTTTTTCTTGCCTTTTACTTTCAGGAAGTTATACCTAATCAATCTGTTAACACAACAAAGAGGAGTTAATCACATTTTAGAAGCAAAAAGCCCAAGCTCTGGCCCACCTCACTTTAACTGCCAGTGTTCTCTTAGTGTTCCATACATAGCTGCAAATAGACATTATTGCTGCTAGAAAAAGGGGCACTATTTTTATGGATCTGTCATCTACCAAATCAAATACTCAAGGTATTTGATACATTCCATGTTCTCAAATACTCAACTTGAAATCCTAACATCCATAGTTAACCTAACCACTCTTCACACTATCGGAGTTTCCTAAGTGTCGTTATAAAAAACAAACAAAAAACAGTTGCATGGTAACATGATCCTGTGCCTAGAAAGAAGTGGCTCTTTATAGTTAAAAGATATGACCAAACCTTTAAAAAAATAATTTCTAATGCCTCCCAATAAAAAGAAAAACCAAATCTGTCATGCAGAAGATTGAGAGAAATCGTATTACTCCTCTGTCCTCTTTATTATTTTATTTACTGATGAGAGAGAGAGAGACATAGATTTGTCATTCCACTCATTTATGCATTCATTGGTTGATTCTGACCGGGGAGTGAACCCACAACCTTGGTATATAGGGATGACACTTCAACCAACTGAGCTACCCAGCCAGGGCCTACATAGCCTTTCTTAAGCTAAGAAAATATCAACTTAAACAAACCTCTGTTAATCGAATCAGAGATTCCAGCTGCCTAGTAGTGATTGGTGAGCTATTTAATCGCTGGCTTTGTTTCCGGAGCTCAAGGTAAAAGTCTTGAAGAATTTGAGCAGCTTCCACAGATAACCTTGGATAGACATACTGACGTGCGTAACCAATGTACTTTCTCAATAGCTGGTGGGGAATTGGATCTATTGTTTCTCCAGGAACCACCTGACACATGATAAAAAGGTCCAAGAATACAAGGATAAGTGGCAACTAAAATCTTTCAGTTAAAATAACTTCAGTAGATAAATATAAAATTCAAAAAGACTCTCAAGCCAAACACACTAGTTCTAGCTCTTGGTCTAGTTAATATAGATTAATTCAAATAACATTGTATTATAATGTAAAAGGTGTGGTATGAAAGTTTATATGCTACTGCTCTACAATACGCAACTCTGACATTCAAACAGAAGTGAACTGAATGATTACGAACATTTGTACCTTTAGTCTTTCTGATAATGGTTTATCAGAAACCACTTCAAGTACAGAAGTATTTGAATCTTGACTATTCAGACGAGCTACTGTGGCACTGGTAACAGTTCTCTGCTTTCCAGCTCTTATTGCAATTACATGTTCAGAGAGTAAGTGATCATGGTCCTCATTGGGAGTGTCTAACAGGATAAAGACCAAATCAAATCTGGATAGCAGGGCACTCCCCATTCTAAAGAGGCATGAAAGAGAAGAAACAATGATTGGCATAAAAACAAACTGAAAACCTAGAAAACTTGTTTATTACTCAAGTTGCACGTAGAACTTTAAAAAGGTTTTAGGCTACAGAAACAAGCAACAACTTTTGAATAACACACCCGCCAACTCCAGAGACATCAGGCCATATGCCCTTCAACATGTGCACAGCCTTATACGAGGGAACACCCACAAAAACTGAATTATCTTCTGGAGGGCAGGCCCCTTGTAGAACAAGCTCCCCCGCTAGGTGAGTGTTCTAGGAACCCATCTGTATCAGTGCACCAGCTGCCGTTGTTGTAAGAGGTTGTGTTTGGCTTCAGTGAATTTTTTTTTGGAAGACTCAACATGTTTTCCCATTTTATGATGGGTGATTTACAAGTGCACCTGACCATACAATGCTGAGTGTTCCACAGTTTTTGGCCAAAAATGGTATGACCTCTATGCCCTAACCTCCATATTCATCCGATCTCGCCCCAAGCAACTCCCCCACCCCCATGAAAAATGTCCTCAAAGGGAAACATTTAGCTGATGTGGAATAGGTAAAACAAAAAATAGCAGAAGCACTAGAAGGCATCAAAATTGACAAGTTCAAAAACTGTTTTGAGCAGTTGAAACAATGTCTTGATAGGTGTATTGATTCAAATGGAAAGTACTTTGAAGCTGACTAAAGTTTAAACATGTAAGACTAAATACACAATTTTTTATAAATAAATTCCAGGATTTTGGGGGTTGCCCCTCATATGTACCATCCTTTGGTAGGTTGAAGACATGGCCCTTTCTTACCAGCCAAACCACTGAATTCTTTGTGTTCTATATCACTCCCTATGATGTAGGATCTTTGAATTTTTAATGCTAGAATGCTACATGATATATCAAAAGTATCTAATTACATTCTTAATCTTTTACATCTGTTGCCTCACAAACACACTGAGTCTCTCAAAGCATTTATGCCCATTTAGAAGCAAAAAGCCCATTTTTTTCTTAAAGAAGCATCTAATTAGTCACTCTAATAAAAATGCAGTATTCCATTTAATCATCTCTGAACCCACTAATCAGATAACTCCTCTGAGACAAGAAAGCTGAAATCTAGAGTGATTAACAAATTTGACCAACATCCCAAAACAGGCTTATGGTACCACTAAAGTCCAGAATCTATGTCCCCTGGATCCTTTAGGATCCTTCTGATCTTTCCAATATGGCCCTTTCTCATTTTACTAAGAAAAACTAATAAATTGACTTTTTTGGTGGTGGTGCTGATGCTGATGCAAAAATACCCAGAATCTCAAAGTACAATTATGTATTTTACCATGTACCATTTCTACATTAGAAGTAATAATCACATTAATAAACATTAGAAAATTAGCTTTTCTCCCCTAGAGGAATTGAAGGTTCCAGTTTTTCATCTGAGGCATTCTTTTGTCTTTTTCTCCCTTTGCATCAATTAAGTCTATTTTCCCCTCCCTATTCACATTGTGCAACTTGTAGGACAAATTAGAAGAGAAAGCACATACACATAGATAAAAACATTGTTTTGGGGAAAAAGTGGGATCATACCACATATATGAGTATATCATGTGTTCTTTTCACTTAACAGTAAAGCACAGATGTGTTCTCCTACCAGTACTTACAAAGCTCCTTTCCACTGTACAGTCTTACTACATAGCTTAACCAGTTCCCTATAGATGAACATTTTAAGTTGTTCCCAGTCTTTGTCAGTGATAAACAATGCTGTAACACTCAGCCTGTAAACGTATTTTTGTGCACCTGTGTGACTGTTTTTGTGAGTGCAGTTCCTAAGAGAACTGGCAGGAACAAAATGTGTACATTTATAATAGTGATGAACATGCCAACTTGTCCTTCAAAATGCTAAATTCTCCACCCCCTTGCCAATAATGATTATTAATATTTAAAATGCTTGCCTCTGGATGATATCAACAGTACTTCGTTGTTTTAATTTTTGGTGTTCAAACACATTTTATACATTTACTGGAAACCTGTAATGTCTATGAACTACCCATCATACCCTTCGTTATCTTTTTTGTATTGCCTTACAGGGATTCAGTATAGTAAAGGTATAAACGTTTGAAGAGACTTACTTTAAATTCTCAGAAACTGTTTTGGCTTTATTGTAATGTCCTCCAACTGGGTTTGCAGCTGCAATAATAGAAGTTCTTGCAGGGAGGCTACAAACCATGCCAGCCTTTGCGAGACTGATACTTTGCTGTTCCATGGCTTCTAACAAGGCTTGATGCTGACTTCCCATTTTATCAAATTCATCTATTCCACAAATACCTATAACCACAGTAAAATAATACAGAAAAAAACTGTCCTTTGGTCAAGTTCTAAATCTTATGGAGTGGAAATTATTCCACAATAAACAGTATCTCCATTGTTTTCAGCAGTTAAAATGATAACATTTCATACAATACAGAATTTCTGATTATTTCATTGCAAATAAAATCTTATTTAACTTTTTAAAATAAATTTTATTTTATTTTTTATTTTAGAGAGAGGTGACAGGAGGGAGAGAAATGTCAGCGTGAAAGAGAAACATCAATTGGTTGCCTTCCATATGTGTCCCAACTGGGGACTGAACATGTAACCTAGGCATGTGCCCTGCCTGGAAATCAAACAGGAGACCTTTCAGTCTGCGGAACAACGCCCAACCAATTGAACCATACCAGCAGGAGCTTATTTAACTAACTTTCATGTGATATTTATTCATTCAACATTTTCCACAGGGATAGCACTATGCTGTGAGGTTTACAAAAATTAAGAACATATGAAAGTGACCCTTAAAAAACTTAAAGGCTTAAATCCAAACAGGTGAGATAAAATACCATATTTTGCTGTGTATAGTGTGCACTTTTTTGCTCAAAGTTTTTGAAGGAAAAATAAGGATGCACATTATACATGGGTGGTACTAATTCTGTATCCATATAAATGTTTTTAATTCTTTTATTTATGCTTATGCATTAAAAGTGTAACTCTAGAAAGCAATAATGATATCTGTAGGCAAAATAATACCCTGGAACATGATCATTGGTTTTGTTGAACTTACAACAAAGTTGCAGTGAAAGCAGTTTCAACCAGTGATTCAAGAAAATGAAACAAA